AGCCTGGAAAATACACCACCAGCCGCGCAGAGGCAATCAGTGAAACCGAGGAGCAGATCCTAGCTACCAACCCGGTCATGGAAGCGTTCGGTAACGCCAAAACCACTCGCAACGACAACTCTTCCCGTTTCGGCAAATATATCGAGATTATGTTCGATGACCGAACGAATATCATCGGAGCTAAGATCAGGACGTATCTTCTTGAGCGGTCGAGACTCGTCTTCCAGCCTCTCAAAGAGCGCAATTACCATATCTTCTACCAGCTGGTAGCTGGTGCTTCCGACGCGGAGAAACAGGAGCTGGGTCTCCTGGCTACTGAAGACTTTGAGTATCTGAACCAGGGTGGCACTCCAGTAATCGACGGTGTCGACGACAAGGCTGAATTTGAGGCGACCAGGAAGTCGCTGGCTGTGATTGGTGTGCCGAAGGAAGACCAGACAGACATCTTCCGCGTTCTCGCCGCTTTGCTACACCTCGGTAATGTCAAGATCACGGCTACCCGCACGGATTCGTCAGTCTCGTCGACCGAGCCTTCACTTCTCCGCGCGTGTGAGATGCTTGGAATCGATGCTACCGAGTTTGCGAAATGGATTGTGAAGAAGCAACTTATCACGCGTGGCGAGAAAATCACCTCCAATCTGACACAGCAACAGGCTTTGGTTGTCCGAGACTCCGTCGCCAAGTTCATCTATTCAAGTCTATTTGATTGGCTAGTGGACAAGATCAACCGCCGCCTCGCTACCGATGAAGTGCTTGGGCAGTTCAAATGCTTCATTGGTGTTCTTGATATTTACGGGTTTGAACATTTCGCCAAGAACTCCTTCGAACAATTCTGCATCAATTATGCCAACGAGAAGTTGCAACAGGAATTCAACCAACATGTGTTCAAGCTTGAACAGGAAGAATATGTCCGCGAAGAGATTGACTGGACATTCATTGACTTTTCGGATAATCAACCTTGTATCGATCTTATCGAAGCGAAACTCGGCGTCCTGGCCCTTTTGGATGAAGAGTCTCGACTTCCTATGGGTTCGGACGAGCAGTTTGTCACCAAGCTTCACCATCACTTTGCGGCTGACAAGCAGAAGTTCTACAAGAAACCCCGCTTCGGGAAATCTGCGTTCACTGTCTGTCACTATGCAGTCGATGTTACTTATGAATCTGATGGATTTATCGAAAAGAACCGTGACACTGTGCCAGATGAGCATTTGGAAGTGTTGCGCAATTCCTCCAATCCTTTCATAAAGGAGATTCTAGACACTGCCGCGGCCGTTCGTGAGAAGGACTCTGCTGCTATGTCGTCTAAGCCAGTCGCAGCAGCTCCAGGGCGTCGGATTGGCGTTGCAGTCAATCGGAAGCCCACTCTTGGAGGAATCTTCAAGTCTTCGCTGATTGAATTGATGCACACCATCAACAGTACAGAAGTTCATTACATCCGTTGCATCAAGCCCAATGAGGCAAAGGAGCCTTGGAAATTCGAAGGTCCCATGGTTCTCAGCCAACTAAGAGCTTGTGGTGTCCTGGAAACTGTCCGAATCAGCACCGCTGGCTACCCAACTCGATGGACTTATGAGGAATTTGCCATTCGTTACTACATGCTGTGCCATTCATCGCAATGGACCTCGGAGATTCGGGATATGTGCCATGCAATCCTCCGAAAGGCCCTGGGAGATGAAAAGCAAGATAAGTATCAGCTTGGTCTTACCAAGATCTTCTTCCGAGCTGGTATGCTTGCATTCCTGGAGAATCTCCGAACTTCTAGGTTGAATGAATGCGCCATCATGATCCAGAAGAACTTGCGTGCAAAGTATTACCGCCGCCGCTACCTCGATGCTCGTGACTCAATTCTCACCACTCAGGCCTTCGTTCGGGGTTTCTTGGCACGCCAGCATGCCCACGAGATTCGCCGGACCAAGGCTGCTACTACGATCCAGCGGGTCTGGCGTGGCCAGAAGGAGAAGAAACGGTACACTCAAATCCGCAAAAACTTCATTCTATTCGAGTCTGTTGCCAAGGGATTCCTGTGCCGCCGCAACATCATGGACTCTATCAATGGGAATGCGGCGAAGGTCATTCAACGTGCTTTCCGCTCCTGGCGTCAACTCCGGGCCTGGAGACAGTATCGCCGCCAGGTTATCACTATCCAAAACCTTTGGAGAGGAAAAGAGGCAAGAAATGCTTACAAGAGACTTCGCGAGGATGCCCGTGACCTCAAGCAGATTTCTTATAAGTTGGAGAATAAGGTGGTTGAGTTGACCCAGTACTTGCAAACTCTCAAGCTTGAAAATAAGACCTTGGTCTCACAGCTGGACAACTACGACGCTCAATTGAAGTCATGGAGAACCCGACACAATGCCTTGGAGGCTCGCACGAAGGAACTCCAGGTTGAAGCAAACCAGGCTGGTATCACCGCGGCCCGGTTAGAGGCGATTGAAGAGGAGATGAGTAAGCTTCAACAAAGCCACACTGAAGCCCAGGCTACCATCAAGCGCCTCCAAGAAGAGGAGAGAATCTCCCGTGAGGCTCTTCAAACCGCCAACGAGGAGTTGGAGCGTCTCAAGCTCTTGGATGCCGACCATGAGAAAGATAAGACTGCTCTCCGGCAGCGGATTTCCGATCTCGAGGAACAGCTCGAGGTTGCCAAGAGATCTGTGCCTTTGAACGGTGTGAACGGCGATGGTCTACCCAACGGTGGCGCAGTCCAGACCCCTACCCCGGGCTTGATCAACTTGGTATCTTCAAAGAAACCTAAGCCTAAGAGACGCAGTGCCGGTGCTGAAAGGATCGAGACGGATCGTTTCAGTGGTGCATACAACCCTCGGCCTGTTTCGATGGCGGTCACCCCCGGATCTATGGCTGCCCGCCAAAGTGCGGCGGCCATCTCTCCTGGTTTAGAGTCGGTCGAGGTGGAGCTTGAGAATTTGCTTTCTGAAGAGGAGGACTTGAACGAGGAAGTCGCCATGGGTCTTATCCGCAACTTGAAGATTCCGCTCCCCACTTCGACACCGCCTCCAACTGAAAAGGAAGTCCTGTTCCCCGCATATCTGATCAACCTGGTTACGTCGGAGATGTGGAACAACGGATTTGTCAAGGAGTCGGAGCGATTCTTGGCCAACGTTATGCAGTCCATCCAGCAAGAAGTTATGCAGCATGATGGGGACGACGCGATCAATCCCGGTGCCTTCTGGTTATCCAACGTGCACGAGATGCTATCCTTTGTCTTCCTGGCCGAGGATTGGTATGAAGCACAAAAGACCGAGAACTACGAGTATGACCGCCTATTGGAAATTGTCAAGCACGACCTCGAGAGCTTGGAATTCAACATTTATCACACTTGGATGAAGGTCCTGAAGAAGAAATTGTACAAGATGATCGTTCCAGCCATCATCGAGTCTCAATCACTTCCCGGATTTGTCACCAGTGAAACGAATCGCTTCCTTGGAAAGCTTCTGCCCTCCAACAATAATCCAGCTTACAGCATGGACAACCTCCTCAGTCTATTGAACGGTGTTTACAAGGCAATGAAGGCCTTCTACCTTGAGGACGCCATCGTCCTCCAGACCGTCACGGAGCTCTTGCGCCTGGTTGGTGTCACTGCTTTCAACGACCTCCTCATGCGACGTAACTTCCTGTCGTGGAAGCGTGGTCTGCAAATCAACTACAACATCACTCGTATTGAGGAGTGGTGCAAGAGTCATGATATGCCAGAGGGGACGTTGAAGCTAGAGCATTTGATGGTAAGGTTCCTCGTTTGTTATTCATATTCATTTGGTCATTATACTAACGCCTACACAGCAAGCGACCAAGCTTCTGCAGTTGAAGAAGGCTACTCTGAATGACATTGAGATCATTCAAGATATTTGCTGGATGTAAGTAAGCCCTGGAAGTGTCTTCTCCCACGAATTCACGTAACTAATTCTGTGCAGGTTGTCTCCGAACCAAATTCAGAAACTTCTGAATCAGTACCTGGTGGCAGATTACGAACAGCCCATCAACGGCGAGATCATGAAGGCCGTCGCTTCTCGCGTCACAGAGAAGAGCGATGTGCTTCTCCTGGCTCCGGTAGACATGGAGGACAGTGGCCCGTACGAGATCGCCGAGCCGCGTGTTATCACTGCTCTGGAGACCTATACCCCATCCTGGCTCCAAACACCGCGGTTGAAACGACTTGCTGAGATTGTGTCCGCACAAGCGATGGCACAGCAAGAGAAGCTCGAATGGGATAACGGGGTGGTTGAGGAATAGATCTGTACTGTTGTATATTAGACTTTGGGATTTCCTGTGAGCTACGGATTACGACTTGCCTGGATTATCCACGGCCTTTGCGATACAGTGATGCGCATGATTTTCATTTGTTTCAATTGCATATGACGTCTTGGCTTATAGACCAGAAGAGATTGCTAAGAGGATTCCTGTAAATGACTTTTCCCTCCTAACATAGACGACCAAGCCAGATATAAAAATGGAATGCCCAAGGGGTTCACTTGGTCTCATTGCGAGTAAGCACACTATCCATACTCTCCAGTCTTGTTTTGGCTCTCCAATTGCTTGTGAAATGCCAGAGTGTACTCATCTGGATCCCGCGATAGAGCACTGGCGTCCATTCTCCATCGACTTCCGAGTGACTAGCAGTTCCATCTCCTCATTTTCCTCTTCATCCAATAGGCCCAATCTCTCTTTCCAACCCTCTCGACTCCCTCAAGATCCTTATCCTTCGTAGGTCAAAAAAAACCGCGCATCAATCCTCGGCCAGTAAATCTCATGAAAGGCAAAGCTATTCGTCGCTACATATATAATCCAGAATCATCACTCTCCCAGATTTGATACATAGGGCTGGAAAGTCGCTGGTCTTCTCTTAACCGACGTTGTTGGATCGCTGAATCCCCAGCACCTGTCAATATCTGCGGTCAGTGGTAGTGCAGTGGGGCAGACTCTTAATCTTCAACTTCGCAACATCCAATACTAACCCATACCAACCCATCTCTATCTACACAGCCGAAATGACTGTCACCAAGCTCAACTTCATCACCGGCAACAAAAACAAGCTCCTTGAGGTGCGGGCTATCCTCGGTAAGGTCATCGAAGTGGACAACCAGGAGGTCGATGTCCCAGAGATCCAAGGCACAATCGAAGAAATCGCCAAAGAGAAGGCCAGACGTGCCGCCGAAGCGGTAATTTCTTGCTAGACCTTTTCTGCTAAAATTGCACTTGCTTACGAGGAAATAGATCAATGGGCCTGCCTTGACCGAAGACACTGCGCTTGAGTTCCATGCGCTCAAGGGTCTCCCTGGGCCATACATGTATGTATTCGTTATATCAAAGGCTTACTTTGTGATAATTGTGCTGATGATTGCCAAGCAAATCATTCATGGAGAACCTGGGCCACGAAGGCTTGAACAAGATGCTCGATGGCTTCGAGGACAGGACTGCCGAAGCTGTGTGTACCTTTGCCTTTTGCCGCGGCCCTGGTGAAGAGCCCATTGTTTTCCAGGGGAGGACTGAGGTGAGGCAAATACATTCATTTCAAATCTTTACAAATCTGACTCCGATGTACAGGGTGCTATTGTGCGGCCCAGAGGCCCAGGAAATTTTGGTAAGTGAACATCCAAATGAGCTTTGCAGAGAATCAAGGTCTGATATATGGCAGGCTGGGATGCTATCTTCGAATATGATGGCAAGGAAACATATGCCGAGATGGACAAAGAGGAAAAGGTAAGAACGATCTTGTTTCCCGTGGAAAGGCCATGCACTAAGACCCCCGCGAACAGAACAAGATCTCGCACCGATACAAGGCGCTGGTGAAGTTGCAGCAGTGGCTGGCCGAAGGCCAACAGTAAATCGCCATGGGTATATAACTCGGCCCGCAAAAGACCATAGAAGAATGAGAAACGAGGATTCAAAAATATATATGGCCCGACGAATTCCCTCAATCCGCATTCTCCGCCTGCGATTGCTTCCACGAATCGACCCATTGCGCGATACGTTGGCAGTTTGAGTCCACGTCTGAATCCTGCTCGCTGTTCAATTCTACCACGATCTCTTCGTCGAATGCCTCCCGCGCTTCGTCTGATAGGACGCCGAAGATTTCCGCGTCGACGTTCTCTTCTAGCTTTTTGTCATGGTAGCCCCTTGAAATAAATATGTTAGTTTGAAGGCGTAGATAGGTTTGCGAAGTCGATCGTCATACCGTGAGGAAAGCCGGTCATATAGAACATCTGTAGTGGGGCAACGGAGGACGACGACGAGATCGATCCAGGACTTGGGGAAGAGGTCGCAGGCGTGCCAGTCGATTAAGTAGCCACCATTAGGAATTTCGTCTTCGAGGGCATCGAGTAGCTATGCCGCGCATGGATTAGCATGTGAAATTTTGAGTCTTGAACCCATAGTAGAAAGAGGAGTAATTCAGGTGAAGAGAAGAGCATTGTGGGAAATATTCTCACCTTATCCTCATCAACTACCCAGGTCTTCAAGTCCTCGTCATATTCATCAAAGCAACCACGGTCCTTTGCGAGCTGGTTAATGGACAGGTGCTTCAGGCCGATCTCTTGCGCGAGTTGTTCGCAGTGGACGGTCTTCCCGACCCCGGGGGTGCCGGTGATGATCACATTTGGAGAGGTGCGCATATTTTCTCAGAGAATAGGGATCTTGACGTGGAACTGTAGATTGTAGATTGAAAATGGTTTCCCCAGACGAGATAAATTCCATCGGACTAATTTTCGTCCCGGCTATCTTATCGTGGAGGGGTAAGTTACCGCATTTGGAATGTATAAAAAGGCATTTATAGTATCTTCCCAGGTTAGCTTTTTGCTTGAGTTTAATTAATCATAATACAAAGAATACATATGCAATGTTAATTGAATCTAATTGATCCTATGTGGCGTCTTGCTTTGGACTGGTTATACATAGCCTAGTACTCATTAGCATTAGAATAATCGAAAATTGAACGATCACTCACTTGAGAAGTTCGAATATCTTGTACTTTTGCAGATAAGGTGTCCCTCTGCGATATGCTTTGAGAAGGCGAGTGGGATCTGAGGGCTTGACAAACGCCCCGATGAGACGCTCCATCGCAGGAGAAGTCTTGAACATGGGATCGAATACCAGCAGATTTGCGCTGCCGTTGTCTCGTATTTCAAAACCGACAATTGTCATAGAGTGACCTGGTTCAAGTTAGGGAATGAGATATATGTGCTAAAAGACTTAGGAGGCTGTACCTTGATGCTGGAAGTATATCGGAGGGAGATCAGTCTGAACGACCTTCGTCTCGTCTCCTGGTGAGCATGCTGATCGGAAATAGTCGGCGACGTCAATATATAGAGCATCACAGGCCCGTACGTCGCTTCGCTCTGACAGACTCCTGGCTTCACATCTGGAGGTCGGGGTTAGTTGGGTCAAAGCGAAGCAGGCCAGATAACTCACGGAATTCCTAGGCTCATGAAAAGTGCTTGTGCCTGGGTCACTGTTAAGAGATCCAAGATAATAGTTAAATGCCAAGCGAAAAACTTACTTCAGGTGTTCCAATAAACTTGCGCGTATCTTTGATACCACCTGTCTCAACTCTTCCAGAACTATTGAACCCCATGTCCCAGGCCGATTCAATCATATCCTGCAGCTCAAGGATGGTCGGCCCCTTACTTGGAAAGTGCTCATGGCCAAAGCCACCAGACTTTTTCAGCCAAGAAACCATCATTTGAATATTGCGATAGCCACAAAACCCGCCCTCCCGACGCATCTTGCAGATATGGCGGACTTTGGGGCTACAGAAGAATGCCCGCTGGACAGATTTGTCTTGTTCACACAGGCGAGCAAGAACAGGAATCAGATTGTCGGTCTCATTTTCTACTGTCTCGCGTCGTGTGAATTTGCCGTCAGATGTGATTTGGGTTTGCTTTGATATGTTGCCACCCTTTTCCAGCATTTTCTTTAGCCATGCTGGCATTTTCTTCTCGTGCGCATGAGGACCCAATTCCGAGCGCTGAAAACTTGTTAGTACTTATATCTAAAGATAAAATCTGGGACAAATACCCCTAATCTCTTTGTGCCATCGGCATTAATTGTCCTTGGGGGACTGTGAGGCCGCGGTGGCTTGGCAGTGTTTGCTCGCAAGGAGTCTCGTTGCATCCCACGCTTGCCTCCTTTGTGGGAGTCGAGCATGTCGAGGGGACCTTCATCATCAAAGGACTCATCGTACCCATGGCCATATGCGTCGGGGGTCGAGCGTGCCGATGCGGCCCCGATATCCTCCAGCGCCATGTCCTCTGCAACGTGTAGATCCAGATGACTTGACAGCTCCGCACTTTCTATTGTCTCACCACATCCATGTGGACAGTCGACATATTTGTCTGCGCCATCCTCATTCACTGGCAGTGGAGTCGGATTTTGGCCTGCGAATTCTTGCGAGGTTTCCTGCAGGAAACCGGCTACTCCATTTTCTGGATGGCAGAATTCGATGTGTTGGGACACGAAATCAGCATCGGAGTCTGTGAGAGGACAAAAAGGACAAGAGGCGGTATTGTCGGCCATTGTGGAGTTTTTATCCAGTGCTGACGCTGGAGGGGAAATTATTAGGTTGATGCTTGGCAGACACCGCCTGCGAGAAGAGCAAAAGATGTATGTACGCAAAATGCAAAGAGGAAAAGAAAAAGGGAAGCCAAAGTTGTAGAGACAGAAGTATACGAGGATTTAATTTGGTGCCTAAACGAGCAGAACAGCCTTGGAGTGGTTCCCCGAGACCCACTACGGCAGAAGCTTGCCCAGTTCATACATCTGCGCAGAACATATTCTCTTTTATATTAATGAAGCATCTAATTATTATATTATCCAAAACTCATATCGTCGTAAATCCATCACTCCCACCCTACTCTAGCTAGAGATAGAGACGTGATGTGCTCGGCTCACTAACATCCTCCGAAGTAAATGTGCAATGCAAGAAACCGACTGCCCTGAAATCATTTCTATCCAGCTCCCTAGCCAAAGATAGCCGTTGCTCATCACTTCCAACACTCGATCGAGCTTCATGCTCAACATCCGTCGTTATTGTGTTTGAAAAGTTGCCATGAGATAGGACACTGCCTGGAACTTCGCCCCATTGCACCGGTTTCAGTGCATGATCGACCGCTGTAGTCATGGGATGGCACGCAGCGCTGATTGCCGCACTACACTGTCCAGCTGGTGGCATGTGCGATTTGAAGCGACGAAAGCCTAAAAGTAACGCGACGATGGGTAGCAAGCTACCAACGATTATCCCGAAAACGATGGCAACGGGCGAATAGCCACAAGTAACGAGGACTTCCGGGTATCTTTGTTGGGGTACTCCATGCCGGTCGAATGGAATCACCTGGACAAAGAACAGACTCTGAGATACGAGCCAGTGGAGAACAGCGGAGACTATCAACAGCGGGATACTGTAGCGGTATGGAAGGCTGAGGTAGTATGTTGAACGCTGGGCGCCGCGGGGCCAGGATACGCGGAGAGGCTTTCGGTTTGTGGCGTAGTTGTCGTATTCGACGGCGCCGAGCATGCAGGTCAGCAGGCCGTTGTAGAAGAAGTAAGCTAGTGACACTAGTATCTGAGGTATATTGGCCATAAGAATCATGGAAAATATTCCACTTGCGGTAGAGGGGATGCTCAAGCCGGCTAGCGTAGTTCCTGAGCTTGCCTCTCCCAGGCCGGAGTCCCATATGCTCTTCGATTTGGAGGCTTTGTTGTAATTGAGAATTCCCAGGCGAAGGACAATGACGGATGGGATTAGCATGCACACGAATCTAATTGAAGTCAGTCAACAGCTGGCTGAGGTCGTCATTGTCACGAGAAGGGTAGTATCATACAAGAGAATCGTATACACCCAGCGCGATATGCTCGCAGCTTGGAACCATCGTTTCCTTGAAGATAACCGAAGCGGAGGCTCTTGTTTGGTCTCCAGAAGATCCAAAGAGTTGCGTTCACGGCCCTTGTATTTCCGCCATCCTTGTGTTCTTTTCTTGACTAGAGACCCGGACAGCAGACAGACTCCCTCGGTGGCTGGGTCTGGGTTGGCAAGGAAAGATGCAATCGCGTCTCCGGTGGTGAGGAAGATATCTTTTCTGTTCTCGCGTGCCGCTAACAGCGCGCAGATGAGCTTGACTATATTGCAGCCAATTACAATCAGGCAGATCGGTGGACTGAAGAATAGCTGACAAGTCTCCTCAACTGGCAGCGTCATGCAGTGATCGATTGAATATGATCGCGGTGTCTGTTTACCGTAGTCTCTCGGGTACGTGCAATCAGGTTCACCTTTGCGTACTGTGACGCTACCTGGGAATGAACTGTTAACCCAGCCGGTAGAATTATCCAGCTCAGCTTGCAACTCCTCCAGGGTACGGTGTTTATCCAGGATATCATCGAGATGGTTGTAGTCCTCGGTATCGGGAATGCCGTAATGTCCGACATCCAACCATCCTCCGCTCTCATAAATCCCACCTGGGATAGGCACCGACACACGTATGGTGGGACGCGACCACGTTAATGCGTCTACAGACCAATCCTGGGTGTCTTCTTCGGCTATACTCTTGGTGCAGGGATATTCTTCGTCACACAGCCAGCTGAATTGAGAAAATCCACCCTCAAAGCTGTGACTATTTCCAGTTCCTATCAAGGCCACGGACTCGTTTTGAGGCATCGAGTCCTTGGTCACCAGAACAACCGTTCCGTACCCGGATGCATAGTCCTGAGCAAAGATATCAATACATTCTTGCTTGGAGAGTGTGTTGAACCTCCCATCACGAATCGCAGCGTTGAATGATGGCAAGTCCATTCCGACATTTTCTGTGAAGCATTGCTCAAATTCCGTGGAGTTGCCATATTCCTGAATAAGCCTATCCTGTGCTGCAACGATTGAATATTCCGTTGGCCCAATGGAGAAGTAGACGGCTGAATTGTAACTAGCAAAAGTCCATATCAGCTGGAGTGCGTCGAGATACAGGCAGTGTTAAACCACAAACATCAAATGGATAGGCAATGAGGTGATTAGCAGGATCGATCCCAGAAGGCGTTGCTTGCCTGTTTGATAGCGAAGTAGGTCCATGATATTCGGGACCCCGATTCGAACCCATGTCCTTTGGCTGTGGGCTTTATCCACCTGCTCTCGCGAAGGGGCTGCAAGACACTGCATACAGTAGTTGCTTGCCCCTAGAAGGACAGTGCTGAGAATGTTGATCAGGAGGTGCAAGCCCGTGGTCCAATTCTTGGAAGTTGAGCACTTTCCCATATAGAGTGAAGCGAAGGAGAAAATCTGCCCGCTGTTCCCTGAATACGCCAGACCAGCTGCGATGACAGTGAGGATGGTGTTCAAGGCGAGAACTCCGCCAATGATCCAGGAGCAGATCACAACACCCTTTATCCATTTGCGAGCAGGATCGGTATGACCCGTCAGTCGTTGCACCTCCTCCTTAGGCTCTTTGGAATAATTCGGAAACCATGACCATGACCTAAAAGCCGATAATGGTTGTGGCTTCCTTATTGATTCCTCGGCATCGCGCTGTTGCCTTTTGGGGAGCATTTTGGGGTAAAGCGCTGTCACACTGTCATTGGGATCGGGAATGACAACCCTCTCACGTCGACAGAGAGTGTCAAAATCTTTGAAAGTGAAATCTGTGGAAATCAGACAGGGCACTCTGGCCCTGTTATTTCATAGAATGCCAAGCCGTAGCATCTTGGCAGCGACAATCATCTTCCCGATATAGCAATATGGAAGGGCTGTGCTGTCACTATTTTCTGCCTAAGATCAGCGGGTAGAAGACACTAAGTATATTATACTTCGTGGGGGCTGAAACGATCATATACAGTCATATACTTGCCAAGAGACACTGCCTACTTGCTTACTGCGTACATATAAAATACGGTAGGAACATCGTGGAGCCACGTGATGGGAGCTTTCGACCTGACGCGGGCTGTGTTCTGAATTCCTGCTCTCCTCCCGGCTCAGGTATCTCCAAACCCCCTCCAGGTGACCTGAATTATGAAACTCATTGCAGGAGTGTTAACATGGCATTCTTGACTCGGGGCGCCAGAAGTCTCCTCAAAAGTCAGACTTATCAATTAGAAAGCACCTCCAGCTGGAACCTGTCAAAAACGGTCTCATTCTCCACGCGACGGCTCATTTCGAACATCCACCGCCCATCACTTCACAACATCACACCACGGGCATGCGTGAAGAGGCAAATACTTCAATTCCTTGCTATATCGCTATCATCTTCATCACCAGCCAGGATGATCGACTCTAAACGTACTCCATCCATCCCCTTCAACCATAATGAAGCCGATGTTATCGAGAAGAACATGCTCGACGACGGCTTCCGGACATGGGGCCTCGTCGTCTACAGATGCACTTACAAGAGCGACTCTGACTGGAAGGAGTTCATGCGTCGCTTTCTCTATCATGTGAGAGACACGCTCGAGTATTACGACGGCCTCGATATGCTCGATTCATTCGTGCCTACGGTGATGGATGACAAGACGCGGTTTGATAGCGTGACTCCATCTATTGTGCGTGATTATTTCAACCAGTGGGCGCGTACTACGTGTGAAACCGAGCAAGGCGTTCCGTTTGATCGTGCCCAGTGGGCAAATACGGCACGGTATAAATTCTGTATCATGGTTGATGAGGAGACGTTGCAGTCAGTTCTGGACATTCCACCTGAGGATGTCGAGGGTTATAATAACACCGGCTTTGTGGTTCTGGTCAATGGCAGGTGGGAGCCGCGATTCCTGAGTGAAGAGGAAGGTTATACCAGTCCGCCGCAAGAGAATAATTTCGAGCCAGTGCAGGGGTGCACGCTGGAAGATGTGGGCTGGATGAAAGTGTGCTATGATCGGGCTCAGATAGTGGCCTCTGCTTTTATGCGCGACGGTTTTGACTGGGAGGCGCAGTATAGGCGTCCTCCTGAGATTACTTTCAACTGCTGATCTGACTATATTTTGCGTCGGACTATCGTGGGCACTTCACTATTTCAAGCGGGTAGAGATCGGCTCGACAGGCCAGCGCGTGGTTTACCCAAACCGAGTCTTATACGTTGTAGGAATAGCATTTAACCTACTGCAAGACGCCCAAAACAGCCTATATTTACTCGGATTGCAGTTTAGCATTATATCTTTAATCTGTGACGCACCGATTGACCCTATTTTGCTTAGCTCAAGGCTGAAAACCTTGGAAGCTGCATTTGCTTACTAGTCAATCGTCCACAGCTCGGAATCGAAATGGATGGAGTTACTGTCGCTAATAACCCTCCGATAAACTTGATGCAACACCTTTGAAGTATAGGTAGTACTGGCAACGAGCCAAATGAATCAATGTTGGGATGCAATACAGATATATACCAGGGCTGCACTCTATACTCCGGAAGAATGTTCATCCCGATAAGATCCAATGAGGGGCATTTCATATGAAAATGGCGTGATTGGTGGGGCTTCCGACATCGTTTGTTCCTGGCCGGAACAGGCAGGCGGTCTCCATTTTCATAACTCTATTGCCAATTGAGTCACCAAAAAAAAAAAATATGCAGCCCGAAGTGGCCCCAATGGTCTCCGCTTTCGCCGGTTTCCCCTCCAAAACCACTCTCGCTCCCTTGCATTATATTGCACACTGTCTTTACTTCCAAGGTTATCTTGGCTCGACACCATGGCTACCACAATTCTTGATTCAAATTTGCCAGTGACCGCGCAGGCCCACAGCAGTTGGGTCGTGCAGAAATTCGGCGGCACTAGTGTGGGCAAGTTCGCGCGGAATATCATCGAGCAGGTGGTCGAGTATGACGCATTTTCTCGATTTCGCTTTGATATAGAGACTGACACTCGTACAGACCTAGCCTTGTGAACAATAGAGTCGCCGTCGTATGCTCTGCGAGGAGCAGTTCTACAAAAGCTGAAGGCACCACCAACCGGTGAGTCATCACGATACCATTCAGCGATACCACGATTGGGATATCGATACACTAATACCAATTCCTTCGGAACAGGCTATTGCGGGCAGCAAAGGACGCTGAAAATCCTCGTTCGCGGCAATATCTGACATTGGTGGAAGCTGTTCGTTTGGAGCATGTCCAAGTCGCCCAAGAAGAATTGAAGTCGGTCGAAATAAGAGATCAAGTGATTGCGGACATCACCGGAGAATGCGAACGAGTACTCAAGTTCCTTGAGGCCGCTCAGACCCTGGGAGAGATCAGTGCCCGCTGTGTGGACAAGGTGATGAGTACCGGCGAGAAGCTAAGCTGTCGGCTCATGGCCGCTCTACTGCAAGACCGCGGGGTTGATTCGCAGTATGTGGATCTTGCAGAAGTCATTGATTTCCCCATCGGTCCCCACGGCTTGGATCAGGACTTTTATAATACCCTGGCAGCAGCTTTCGGCAGCAAAGTCGAGGCCTGCGGGCATCGAGTACCTGTGATGACTGGGTACTTTGGTACCATCCCAGGTGGTCTGCTCGATCAGATTGGTCGTGGATATACCGATCTGTGTGCCGCCCTTGTCGCAGTCGGAACTCGCGCGCGGGAGCTGCAGGTGTGGAAGGAGGTGGATGGTATCTTTACTGCGGACCCGCGTAAAGTGCCAACGGCTCATCTGCTCCCGGCCATCACCCCCGCCGAAGCCGCTGAATTGACTTTCTATGGATCCGAAGTCATTCATCCATTCACCATGGAGCAAGTCATTCGCGCAAGGATCCCTATTCGCATTAAGAACGTCATGAACCCAAAGAACGAAGGCACTATTATCTTCCCTGACTCTGTGGCCGAACTGGAGAGAACCACACCAGGACATGACCCACGTTTGTTCCGGACCAGGAGTCCCAGTCTTGCGCATACGCCGAAACGTCCGACCGCAGTCACCATCAAGCATAATATCCTGGTGATCAACGTGCATTCCAACAAGCGGTCGCTCTCCCATGGTTTCTTTGCCGGTATTTTCTCCGTATTGGACAAGTGGCGTCTATCGATTGATCTGATCTCGACCAGCGAGGTCCACGTGTCCTTGGCCCTTCACTCGGAGATGCCCCTTTTGAATGGAAACGGACGGGATGAGTATCAGGTCATTGACGATGATCTCCAGGGAGCATTGAATGACCTGGAGAGATACGGAACTGTGGACATCATCCCTGAGATGGCCATTCTCAGTTTGGTGGGCAAACAGATGAAGAATATGATCGGTGTCGCAGGGCGTATGTTCACCACTCTCGGGGAGAACAGCGTGAATATCGAGATGATCTCGCAAGGTGAGTAAATAATTGCAGATCCCCCCGCTCCCACCCCCGTCGCTCTAACTTTTGTATCCTTTACTGGGGCTAATTGGATCTTTCTTCCCCCCTCACAGGTGCAAGTGAAATCAATATCTCCTGCGTCATTGAAGAACGAGACGCCGACCGTGCCCTGAATATTATCCATACGAGCATGTTCACTTTCTTGGATTGAAAGTCCCTCATTTGCATCGAGCAAAAGTCATTGTTGTTTAAGATATCCCTTGGGTTTTATTTGTGATAGAAAAAAGTTATGCATCCACCCGAAGTTGCCTGTCAAGACAGGGGGCCACGACTTTTGTTGGGAGAACCAAGCATAGGCTTTCTCTTTTTGTGCATGGGCTTGGCGTTGTCTTCGAATTTTTTCCTAGTTCCTTTTTTTCGGTCTAGAATAGAAGTCATGAGACGTTCGTTTCATGAGGGATGGTTCCTCTAAGTGTCCTGGTATATTCAAGCTATACCTACATCTTATATATCAGATTTCTTCTTCTCAGTCCTCTGGTCCCATTGTAGTGCGTACGACCTCCCTCGCCCCTCTTCCGCTCCCTGAATAGAAGTGAGGATACTCCGTCTATCTTCCTGGTCTGATGGTGAAAGGATCATCGATGACTGTAACCTGTCCTTATTATATAGCATTGCCTTTGACTGGATTCGAGCCACCTAGGTGTCTCTCTCTAGCTTCGCTTGAGATTCGGAGGCCGCTACCTCCAGTGTTACTGTCGGGTTGTCTGCGTATTGTGGAACTGGCCTATCTCAGCTTAGATGCTCTTGTCACTGCCCTTCTCTTCCCTGATAGTGACTCCTAGACATTTGTGACAGAGCGCATAATACTTATTTAGTTGAGAGCGAGAGCCATTGCATCGCTGAATTCTCCAAGGCTTGAGAATGGACGGGTGTTACCATATTGGCGGAAACGATCTACTGCAACTCTGAGCGTCCTCATAGAAACGGCCGGAAAGGAACGCCTTGCTAGAGGGAATAAGGTACGTCCAACGACCTACGTACGGACTAAGTGCCTGAAATCTGTTACATGGGGTCTCTGATGTATAAGCAAGGGTATAGGGAAAGACACTAGGGATCTCCCCTAGATTCAAACAATAGATCCCCCGTTCTAGTTGCAATTCCTTGCTCTGTGCTCCCACTCCTGTACGGAGTTCTGATTATTAGGTTCCGGCACCTGCAAACAAGTGCGCAGCACATATGTTGTACGATGTAGGCTTGGAAGATCGATTGGCCCTCGAGGCACCCGAGAGCAATTGGCCACTAGTCAAGGGCGTTCGGAGATCCTCCATGACAGCAGAGAAACAAGGGGTGAAAAGCAGCGACCGTTTCAGAGTTACATTGACACGTCCACATACCGGGATGACCGGACCAATTGGGGTGCCAATGCTAGGATTTAAGAATAGTCGATGTCTGGCATTGTCTCGGTCTAGATGGATTGAGTGGTGTCATACTTGCAGGACTATATTGTACGATATAGCTGTAGACACTTGCGTATTGTATACCAAGACCTAAAGATAGGTATCCTGTATACTTACACTATACATGCCATATATAGTTACAATATAGTCAATAATCAAAGGCAATAATGTCGACCTGACATACTCCGTTCATCCTCGGTGGATCAGATCGACGCTAGAAAATGTGAGCAAGGGAGGGGACCCCCTTTGGTAATATATGAATTAATAATACCAATAATACCACCCCGATATGCCCCACCTTTCCTATTAAAACGCGTGACGCGTCTATAAAATGACCATACATTACACGTATTTATCACACTATCTCACTCCATCTTCGATCTCCCTCTCTCCTCTCCCCCCGCCTTTCTTCTGTTCTGAGAAAAATTGAGCATTTCTAGAATTCTATAATAATGATTTAGTATCTTCCAAGGGTTCATGCGGAAGAAGTGAGAAGAGGAAAGAAAAAAATTCTGAAGGGCTTGATATCTCTCTCCTCCCTTTGTCACAGAGCCACATTTTCTCTTCCAAGGTTTACTCCCCTTCCAAGAGTCTTCTGCCTATCTTTTCTTCCTGTACTTCTCTGTATTCTTCTCTTCTCAATCTTCTCTATCCTCTATCCTATCCTCTATCCTCAGCTCCAGCAGTCCGTACCATATTTGGTTGCTTTTCATTCCCAAATCCCATATCTCATCCACATCTGTTATCTGTGCGGCCTGATTCGCGCCCAGCTCGGAAGTGTGACGCCTTAGCGCCTTGTGGCCCAACTTGTCTAAGCTGCATGACGGCCTGGGCTTTTTCGCTTTCTCGATCTACGGAATACCATTGGCCCAATCGAAATTCTCTGCAAGTCTCATCACACCTAGACACGGCTTGCTTGTTGTCGCAAACTCGGCCGGAGGCCTTGTTTTCAACAGTCGCGCTCTCCCCCAAGTCTGTTTACGCGTCATATGGTCCCCTCTGGTGACTGGTGATATTGCGACTTGGTGCCCTATCGTTTAGGTTATGGGATCGACGCGTTCTACGGGCGCACACTATTCCTCAGTGCTAGGCCCATCAGCCCAGGAGATCATCAGATCGAAGCCCCGTCTACAACCCTCACCGCTACCACTCCAGCCCATTCAGAACCCGTCTTCGAATCCGACTTCGGGCCCGCACAGGCCATCACCGACAAAAGGACTTCACCCCCAGGGCTCCTATCCGAGCCACGGAAAACTCGGTTTCGTCCCCATATCTGCTCCCACTCCTCCCATGTTTACCACCGACTCCCCAGCCAAGAAAGCGCCATTCCCCCTCTACTCTACAACCTCTATGCCACATTCTGCTCTCTTCACCACATTCTCCAGCATTAATACCGAATCATCAAAAGAAAACCACCTTCCCGAAGAGCCATCCAATGACAGCTTCGCGGACTTCCCAGAGCCGTCGTATGAATCCAAACTTCCGATGAAGCGCACTCTGATGGAGGCTGCGCCGCTCAAGGAGCGCTCTAATAAGAAACAAAAGCGTGACGACGCGCCGGTTGCTTACCTACCCGAACCGCACGACATGCCGCCAGTGGAGGATGATGGCACCAAGCCTCCGTACAGCTATGCTACCTTGATCGGAATGTCAATTTTGCGCGCAAACAACCGGCGCTTGACGCTAGCGCAAATTTACAAGTGGATCTCCGACACCTTCTCATATTACAAGAATAGCGATCCCGGTTGGCAGAATAGCATCCGACACAATCTCAGCCTCAACAAGGCATTCATTAAGCAAGAGCGACCAAAGGACGACCCTGGCAAGGGTAACTACTGGGCCATTGAGCCCGGCATGGAGGCGCAATTCCTCAAAGACAAACAAGTGCGCCGCGCCACCATGTCTAGCCTTCCTCTCCCTGCTGCTCCTCAGAGAGATCTTATCCCTCAGTCGCAAACCGCAAGCACCACGACATGGATGGTACCACCGCAGCCTGCTTATCACGCGCCAGCTCATCACGCGCCTACTCCCAGACCGGCCCCAAATGACTTGTCTTCGGATGCTACATTACCTGCGTCTGACCCTGCTCTTCAAGACGATGCGGACGAAGTTGTTCCGGTGCCTGCGCCACGCGCAGCGCCTCGTTCCTCCCCGCCGGCCATCCGGTCGTCTCCTCCAATCGCTCCTCCCCGATTCGCCCGCCAGGGTACCCCTCCAACCCCCACGCAATCCGGCCCTACCCCTGCGCCTCGCCCGCGCAAGCGCAAGTCGATTACTATGAATGACAGTGGCTACTTCTCCTCCTTGGAGTCATCGGCTCTCAGGCCTAACAAAGCTGGACATATCTTGACATCTGATCTGGATATCGAGCCTCCGCGCATCAAGCGCGGCCGTGCCGAAGAAGAGATTGCGCGCATGCGCAGCTCATCTCACGACATTAGCCCTGGTCAGCCAGCAGCTCGCAAAAACCCCAACCCACCTATCGGCTCATCGCCTCTCCGCAGCCAATATGTGAGCATGCAGCCGCCTCCGTTGACACCTATCATCAAGTTTAAGAAGCCTGCCAGGCCGCCACCATCTGTGTCTCCCAATACCAATTTGCGAAACCATCGCCGAAAGATCCAGCGAATGGTCAACTCGCCTATCAAACATTTAGGCCTTTCGGAGGATGCTCTTCCTTGGAGCCCGGCTTTCAATCTCCAGGACGAGGCGTATACCCCTAACGACCATTTCCATACCTCCTTTGATGTCTTCGCGGATCCTGGATCGGCACAGGTATCCTACGGATCACCCGAGAAGCGCTCAGTCAAACGCCCGCGAAACGATGGTGAAAACACTGCACTTTCGGACATCACTTCGGTGAACATCAATAGCCGACTGGGTGTGCCTTCGTTGTCCCGTTCCAAATCCGCAATCTTCCCCGAGTCGCCGTCTAAGCTCCCAGACACGAACCGCTTTGGAGATGCTGGTCAGGAAGATTTCTTCTCGTTCCATCTCTTCGATGAGAGCAATGACAGCTCAGGTGAAGTCGATGGCGTTGATCTCTTGCAAGGCTTCCAAAAGATTGGAGGCATGAGCAAGGATGACACTTTGAAGCCCAGGGCGCTTCATCGACCACAAATGGGCCGAACCAATACGACCTTGTTTTAAGACGCTCTCAGTTCATGATATTTTTTGGTTTATAGGTTGGGATCTCTGGGAGACCCGCCTTGTTCGATTTGCTTTTTATTGTTGATTCTTGCATTACTCTCCCTACTATCCCTTTATTATCCTCCTACTTTTGTCTCCCTGCAACCTCTGTTTCTTGAGTTTTGGATTGTATCCTGGAGTTTGTTCTTCTGATGTTTCCAAGGACTTGTGGGCGGTGTTTTTCTTTGGGAGTTTTTGGGCTGCGCTGATGGAGCCGGTTCTGACATTTCCTCAACTAAGCCCAGGGTGGCCTGGTTACGACATTAATGACGATGCTAAGACGTACATGCAAGCGATGGTTTTTATGATTTGGATATCGGGGTTGGGGCTATCTTTATGGGAAACTACTGGAAAACACATTGAAGGCGTTACTTGATATAATGTATGTAGTTAGCAATTGAAAGTCATTATTTGTCTGCTTATCAAACTGTTCCATGAGCCATTCAAGCTTTGAAGGGTATCTGATTGACCCGACGAATGGATCCAATAGAGTAATAAAAGAAGAAACATTTGAACAGAAAAATGCATAGTACCGGAACGCCCTATCCAATGGATGTATGGTTAATCCACCACTACCTCCCCGGCCAAAATGAAACCTCTAGCCACCAACCTCAGCCTCTATTTTAGTCGCTGCTTCCACAGCCGTTGCAGCCACAGCTGACACACTGAATCGTCTGGTCCTCCTTGAGCTGCGCCTTGGGCACTCGGCAGATACACGTGGAATTAAAATTCGTCTCTTTTGTTTGGACACAGCGCAGACAACACAGCTAGGGAAATCAGTTAGTCCTGAATAAAAGTTCTTCCAAGGGTAAACTAACCTTCTCATAACCCTGCTTCTTCCACTTGGCAATCAAGTTGGCATCCGCATACTTGTTCTTGAGCAGGAAATCATATAACTCCTTTGAGATCGCTTCTTTTTCATAATAAAGTTCATAGATGTATCGTGAGCCTGTTAAATAAGAGGGGCAATAAGTCAGTAAAACCGTATTTCTCGATGCCGCGGAGGAGTAACTCGTACGTTGATGGCTGATCTGGAAGATCGGCCAGAGAACTTCATATTTCTTCTTTCCTTCATGTGATGCATTTTCTGCATCCTTCATTTTGTTGCTGAATTCCAGCAAGGTATCTTCGATATCGTCAAAGCCAGCGGGAGGCGGTTTGCGATTGCGGGAAGTGCGAATCGGAGGCATGGCGGGCGATATGTTACAGATGAGGATAATGTGGTAGATTGCAATGCAATATTCAAAGCGACTGTGTTCGACGTGGCACTGTCTCGGCAGGGTATTTTCTCTCGATGTTAACTGAGAAACGAAGAACGCAAGTTGCTATCGATAGGGAAAACTGCGCGTCATTTTTGTGCCGCTGTCCACCGCTTTTGATTTTGAATTACGGACATCGTCCAGCTACTATCCATCGCCCTACTTTTATCTTATTCTCCATATCCCATTTCACCTCAATTGCTACTCGCATCTCCTATACCGCCATTATGGAACAGCAGCTTGATCTCACCAAGCTCTCTGAGAGCGATAAGAAGGAGCTCAACCAGGTCCTGACCAACGAGGCTCAGAAGTCCAACATTCAGCAGAGTAAGTGTTTATCTTTCTATCGGGACGCAATAGGGATCTATAATTCATGATTTATATTATCTGGATTTTCGTCCTAATACTTGATATCAACCCCCCTGCATCAATACATAGCTAACCTCAATCCCTTCCAGCTGTCCACCACCTGAACGAAGTGTGCTGGGAGAAGTGCATCACCAGCAAGATCACCTCCGGCTCCCTCGATAAGTCCGAGGAAGCATGTGCGCAGAACTGCGTTGACCGGTGGATGGATACCAGTCTGTCCATCCTGTCGAAGCTGGACAGCATGCGCGGCGGCCCCGGTCACTAAGCGTTTATCTGTCTTGTGTTCTCGGTTTCTGCCATTGCTGTTTCTGATCGTTGTCTGGAAAAGATGATATCTATGGATATCAATCGCTCTTCTTGAAGACTGATTTGGGTTGGAGCCCGTCATGCTCTACTTTTGCTTCTTGGACGGCGATTGGACGGTTCATTTCGGGGTTTATGGATGGATAGACGGATTGTGGAACAATCACTTGTATACTATAGTTTCAATTTATGAACCATGTTGTCTTGTACAATATATGTGGGATTTGTTTCGGGGACGTTGTTGTAGAACAAGTACATCGTCTCCTTATGCTATGCTACCATCTCCTGGATTATAGGAAGGGTGGTGAGAACATCCACTAAAGGCCATGTTACGTTGGAGAGCCATTACATGTAAACTGGGTATAATAGCAAACAATATGGGGGCTGGGGTAACTGCAAATGTCTTAACAAATGTCTGGCCAAGTATGGGGTATAAAAGCAGGTGTAGAATCGATCAATATTGCCAAGGTTGGCTCTCGTCTCCGCTAGGAGACCATTCGGCCATTTGCACCGTGTCTGATAAACATAGAATAGGAAGACCTACAACATTACGGTGCACTACTACTGGTCTGGAACATGTCTTAGCCATTACAGGACCGACAAGTCCGGCGATTCTTTTGGAATCGTGCATTTCACTTTCACAAGTTATGTTCTTTTTGATCATTCAGCCCGGTTGGTATTTTAGCATCTCCGCAGTGTAAAACAAAGTTCGCCAAAACCCTAAGAAATCCCTTTTCGAGCATTCCCCGCTTAGACAATGGCCAACTTGGTGGCGGCAATGTCAAGAGCATCGACATCCGGGGTGAGACGGGCGAAGGCCTTCTTGGTTCCGTCAGGGCTGAAAGTTTATGTTAGCTTTCAATGCACTTGTATCAACAAAAGAAAGTAGAACATACCGGATAAGAGTGTTGATCTTGACGGTGTCAACATCGTACAGCTTCTTGAGAGCCTGCTTGATCTGGCGCTTGTTGGACTTGACGTTGACAATGAAGACAAGGGTGTTGTTCTCCTCGATCTTCTTCATGGCGCTCTCGGTGTTCAGGGGGTACAGAACAATCTTGTTGAAGTCCAGAGCGGGGCCCTTGTTGACGGACACGCGGGGGTACTTGGGGGACCGCGACAGCTGGAGGGTCTTGGGGCGGTGGAAGGTGGACGTTGTGCGGACCTTGCGCGACTTGTGAAGCTGTTGCCACAACCGCCGTTAGCGATAGGCTCCAAAAGGGTTTCTTTGGTCTGCTTCATCTTTTGCTACGTACCGAAGCGCCCTTGGCAACCGCCTTGGCGGCGGCGTTGGCCTTGTTCTTGCCTGCAGAGAATATTTCGTTAGCCTAGCCTCCAAAGATAAATTTGCCAAAAAGTTCGTCGGAGATTGCCATCTGTGAATTTGCCGGTGCGGATGTGATAGGTCGATGATTCTGAAGTCGAGTCGCACGTCTGAGATCGGTAGGCATACGGCAATGCAGATGTGTTCTGGGACACATGTGCTGGTGTTTCCGGCCGTTTCGATGTGATCACCAATTATCGAAATTTTTGAATCTGAATATCTTCCTCCACGACCACACGGCGAATTCACAATTGGCAAGGCGGCGATCGCAATAGGAAGAGCGCATAGTTATTTGAACATACCGGTCTTGTTGTCGGAGGGGGCCATGGCTGTCGTCGGTCGCTGTCGATGATGGATTGTCGCAATGTCAAAAGTCGAACGGATTTGGAGTGGTCTTCGCTTAGCGAAAACCCTAGTGCTGTGTGTGGGTCAGGTGACCTACAGTCTGCTGGATCTGGTATCTTTGGTATTTATCAGTACAACTCCTTACAGTACGGTTACCTATTCGTCCAATCAGAATCAACATCGTATTTGGTTCTCCTTCCATTTTCTTAAGCAGCTTTTCTTTACATGCCAGTGACCTCCTCTTCTTTTGTGTATTCGGCCGTCAAGGAGATTCGGAAGGAAAATACATGCTTGATATCTCAATCTATCATTCTAATCTTTCGATCTTTCGTGATCATTAACCCATGGCTCCGCAAAAACGATCCAAGAGGCCGCTGTTGTTGTCGCATAGTCGACCTCGCATTGTCAAGTCCAAGGACGCTGCTCTTTCAGCCAAAGCTACCCGCACTCTGATTCGATCCCATCATCGACTTCTCAAAGTCCGGACTCAAGCTCTGGCCGCCGGGGACGAAGCCCGAGTCAGCAGTATTGACGCTCAAATCCAAGCTAATGGCGGTCTCGAAAGCTATCAGATCGCCAGTAAACTAGGCCAGTCGACGGACCGCGGTGGAGATTCCAGCAAAGTTCTCATCGACTGGATCAAGCCGCAACTGAAGCAATGGAACAAGACGATTCCAAAGCTCCGGGTCCTTGAAGTTGGAGCTTTGAGCACCAAAAATGCCTGCTCTACGAACCCGGCCTTGGATGTCACCCGGATCGACTTGAATTCCCAAGAGCCGGGGATCCTCAAGCAAGATTTCATGGAACGGCCTTTGCCCTCTAGTGATGATGAACGTTTTAATATAATCAGTCTGTCATTGGTGCTCAACTATGTTCCTGATGCTTCGGGACGGGGTGAAATGCTCAAGCGTTGTGTCCAGTTCTTGACATCGAAATGCCCTATTGAACTTGTTCCCAGTCTCTTTATGGTATTGCCTATCGCATGCGTGGACAACTCGCGCTACCTCAACGAGGAAAGACTAGGGGAGATCATGACTTGCCTGGGCTTCCGTCTAACACAAAGCAAGCGGACTTCGAAGCTGGTCTTTCATCTCTGGGAACACAGTGGTACCTACGCGCCTAAGGTTTTCAAGAAGGAAGAGTTGAGGTCCGGCAAAACAAGAAACAATTTCGCCGTCATTCTCAACAAAAAGTGATTATCTGCATAAAAAAGACAAAGTGCTATTATACTCCATATACAATGCTGCAGGTCGAAGCTAGTTTGCAGAGAGCATGTCTCGTGGCAGGAAGGCCCAGACAGTCCCCACGGCTGCCAACATCGAGGAGATGATGAGCAGAATCCAATCAAGGATGTACTCTCCTCGACCGATCTCCTTTCCAAAGATTTTGAGATAAAATGCAAGAGGGAAGATGATACAGATCGTGAAGCACAAGAATGATCCCAAGAAAGCCATGATACGGTCGAAAGCCGGGAAGACGATCGCCAAAATAACAATCATGGCCACTACAAAGACGCGGACCATTGCGCGTGAGACTGTTTGTAGTGTCTTCGAGCCGTTTTCAGCAGGCACGTGGCCGCCTCCAAGTCCACAAAGAACCTCAAACGTGGCCACAAGAGGCCGAGCACTATGTTCTTGTCAGCAGTGTCCGAGGACCAATGAAGGCATCGAACTCACTTCAATGGCACTTTCGTGAGCGGGATGATCGAAATAAAGACTACAATACAGACGGATAGGGACTGTGGGTAGTTGGTGATGGTGAGAATATTCGCAGTGACTTCGTCGCGGACGATATCGCCAAACATGAGCCAACCAATGATCGCCATTGAGCAGTCCAAAGTAAACTGTCAACTTGTTAGAATCGAGCTTTATCCTAGTCACTTAATGTTCTTACTGTAAAAATATAGGTCACCCACAGGCTCTTCCCGTATTTCTGGGGGTGCCTCATATCTCTGTAGATGTTAGGGAAGACACCGTGGCCACCCCATGGTGCTTTTCAACAAGTTAGCCTGGCGATCACAATTCCTTTTGGTCATTAACTCACACATAATAAGACCAAAACTCAGAGGGACAGTAGCCCAGCTTTCAGGGAAGAGGAATGTATTAGCTGGCTGCCGCAAGGAGCCCGGTGCATCTGGCTTGATAAAGCCATCGATGCAAATGAGTACCACGACTTTCGAGTGTCAGTTCTATCTATCAAGCCCAGCTCAGAAGAGGACTTACTTGATGTGCACGAAAGTATGCCCAATATGCTGGTAATACTCAGGAATCGTAGTGGCAGGAAGTTGAGCGGAAGTAGCACAACTCCACAGACGATCTTCCATTGGAGGATGCTCAATCCTGGTACCAGGGCATATAAACTGTCTGCAAACAGCACAACCAGCGCCACACATGCTCCTAAAAGTTCCAAGCAGAAGAGAAAACTGGTTATCAAACGAGCATGCTGCCCGAAACTGATGTAAGCCAGATCAGCATATGTGACAACGCTCTGGTCGACATCCAGACACTTAGCCAGAATCTTGGCTGTATAGGAAGTGACAACAGCCGAGAAGATAAGGAATAACAATCCCAAAACCCACCCGGCATGCTTCAACGCCAATGGAAGACTCAACAGGCCGATACCAATTAACACATTAACCGAGTTGAAGATAGTCTGCGGAAGGGTCGATTGCCCAACGATGATATCCTCCTGGGTCCCATCTTCATGTTGGACATGCTTGACAAGCAATGGACCCCGGTCCGAATCTCCAGGCCCATCCACATGCACCTGGGGATGGTGCTCTCGATGGAATTGAATCGCGTGTCTCCGCGTCGACTCGCTCATCCGTGAGGAGATGGTGCCATACGAAGTTGCAAAACTCCTATCAAACGACGAAGCAAGTAGCCCAGTACTAGGAAGTGTCCTCTTGGAGGACTCAGGCGCTCGTGTTTCCCCATCATCCTGGTCAGAGTCCGAGTCCCCCCGAAGCAGAGGCCGGTCATCCGAGTGCCGACCCCAGGACGGAGAGCTTCTTGACCCGTATTCTTGGCCAGTAGCAATGGCGAATTCATCGTCCGAGTGCGCAGAGACAAACGACAATCGCCGTGGGAGGACTTCTGGGAAGGCCGCAGCTCTCTGCCAAGACCGCGCGAAGTTGTCTATACTGTTGAGACCCCCTGCTTGGCGGACTCGAATTGAGTACGACGACGACCTGCGCAGAGTAGTTAGCTAACGGTCTGGCTGTATACAACAGAAGTCACATACCTCTGTCTGCCGCCGATCTCCGACTCGGCCGTCGGACTCCCACGATCTAGATGGCCATAATCGTAGGAGCTAGGTGTCGCAGCCGGTATCCTCAGTGAGCCATAGACCGGTTCACTGCCTTGATCTTCATCTGTTCTTTCGGCCCTTGACATATTTTCCCGTTACCAACAGAATGGTAGTAGGAGTGGTGATCCTGGAGATATATGAGGATTCGAAGTTGGTTCCCGAGGTGAAGTGCAGGAATGAAAGTCAAGACTAAGAAAAGGAAAAAGATCTCCCCTCACTTATCACATGGAGATAGCTCCAAAAGGGAGATAAGAAGCGAAACCAACCTGCGATATTGAAAAGAGCTTAGCGTCGAAGGAGCTTCCGCTAGTTGTGGGGTGCGGATCACAGAGATTTGATAAGCTAGATTTTTCCAACCTAGGAAGGTTATGTGACTAATTGAATGGGCATTTGAAATTGATAGGCTTGATATATAGATGTAGATAATAGGTATTTTCTTCTTTTATACTTTCTATATAATGCATATTAGTACTCCGTACACCGTGGACCTACACGGACGCCACTCTTCTCAACGAGGACCTGTGTTCTTAATATGTTTTCAGGAAAATCCAGTACGTAAGAGAGATGTATTGCCCAGGTGGACATATTTTGCCTACTATGCCAATTCCAGAATTGGTATCCATGGATTCTCACCTATTACCATGCTTAACATGGGGTATATAGTAACCTTGGAAATAGCAGAAGGACATGCATAAATGAAGAACGTACCTGTACCTGACCATCCGGCTGTTGGGCCATAACGCGGCAAGTACCAGATACGTCACGGGTAGCCCTGGCTTACCTCAGCGTGCCAACCGACCCCTCGAACAAACTTGTCTATGTCCAACCCCACGAGGAAATTTGCTGTCGCTTTTGAACGTCATATCCAGCAAAGGTATGTACTCTCTGTTGTCGAATCTATGAGTATAAAAGAAGAAAAAAAATACTTGGATTTACTTTTGCATCTTTTTTGGCACCTACTAACTGATCTTAGGTGTAAAAAGGCAAGCCTAAATCTTTGTTCGCGGACTCTCGCCCCCCATTACTGACCGAATCTTCAGGCGTCCGCAGGGCCTCCGATAACTATCCCCCCTGATCAACTGTCGCCTCGCCAAGATGAGCGCCCCTCCGCCGAACGAAGCTGAGAAGAATATCGAGATCTGGAAGGTCAAGAAGCTGATCAAGCGTCTTGAATCCGCTCGTGGAAATGGAACCTCTATGATTTCGCTCATTATCCGTGCGTTGTCACTACCCCCGCCACTTACTGTCGCCGCTAACATGTCAATTTAGCCCCCAAGGATCAGATTAGCAGAGCAGCCAAGATGTTGGCTGAAGAGTATGTACGTGAAAAATCCCCCCGATCTCTCTGCGCCAGACATCGCCTAATCGCACAATAGGGTACGGCCTCCAACATTAAGTCTCGAGTAAACCGACTCTCCGTGCTGTCGGCCATTACCTCTACTCAGCAGCGTTTGAAGCTCTACAATAAGGTCCCTCCCAATGGACTGGTTGTGTACTGTGGTGAAATTATCACCTCGGAAGGAAAGGAGCGCAAGATTAACATCGACTTCGAACCGTTCAAGCCCATTAATACCTCCCTCTACCTTTGTGACAACAAGTTCCACACTGAAGCATTGAGCGAGCTCCTCGAGGCCGATCAGAAGTTCGGTTTCATTGTCATGGACGGTAACGGTACTTTGTTCGGTACTCTCAGTGGCAACACTCGTGAGATCATCCAGCGTCTGACCGTTGATCTGCCCAAGAAGCACGTGAGTTTCCCGACTGATTGACTACGATGTTCATCCATACTGATCCATACAGGGCCGTGGTGGTCAATCCGCTCTGCGTTTCTCGCGTCTCCGTGAGGAAAAGCGCCACAACTACGTTCGCAAAATCGCTGAATTGGCTGTTCAGAACTACATCACCAACGACAAGCCCAACGTCGCCGGTCTGGTGTTGGCTGGTTCCGCTGATTTCAAGAACGACCTTAACCAGTCTGATCTATTCGATGGTCGCCTGCAATCCAAGGTTATCAAGGTTGTCGATGTTTCCTACGGTGGCGAGAACGGTTTCAACCAGGCCATTGAACTGGCCGGCGAGACCCTGAGCAACGTCAAGTTCGTTCAGGAGAAGAAGCTTATCGGCCAGTACTTCCAGGAGATCAGCCAAGATACCGGCAGGGTCTGCTACGGTATTGAAGACACCCTCAAGGCAATGGAGCTTGGTGCAGCTGAAATCTTGATCGTCCACGAAAACTTGGAAATCACTCGCTGGGTCATGAAGAACGCGGCAGGCTCTCAGGTTATCATCCACACGAACAAGCTTCAGGAAACCAACAAGGACCTCTTCCAGGACAAGGAAACCGGGTTGGATATGGAGGTTATCGAATCGGGCTCTTTTCTCGAATGGCTTGCCGAGGCCTACAAGGACTTCGGTGCCAACCTGGAGTTCGTGTCTGACCGATCCGGCGAAGGAAACCAGTTCGTCAAGGGTTTCGGTGGTATCGGTGCTATTCTCCGGTACAAGGTCAACTTCGAACAGCTTGCCGATGTCAGCGATGATGACGAGTTCTACGACGGTATGTTTCCTTACCGTGTTTCGTGTCTATTTTGACACTAACTTCTCCGCAGATTGACGGTATTGCCCCCTCGCAGAGAGCGAGGATGAACGGCCAGAAGCTCCCGCGGCGAGTCTTTTGACGGCTCGCCCCGTGGAACATGCACGCGGCTCCCGCGATGGAACCAAGGCATCCGTAAAGGATAACCAAAAAGGCCTGGTCCACGCTCCGTAAAGCTGCTCAGAGGTGAGACACCCGGCTAGCCTTATCAGTCAGGGATTTAGCTCTAACATTTCGAGTACAGTGTCGTCCAAGCTCCAAGGTACGCACACTGAGGTCACCTCAGTGTCTGAGATGAAGATGAGGTTTAAATTGCAATTTGAAAGGTTGGGTGCAGTAATCTGCAACGTTTGGTCATCCACCGCTGCTTGCACTGCTTACTCTATGTAAGCCGGACGGCGTTGGATTGTTTTATTTCTCGGCCGATTCTGTCGTTTCAGCTCTGAATGGCATTTTCTGGTACTTCGCTCATTATTTGCTCGTTATTCAAAAGAAAAAGAAAAGCACCCGAAAGGGTTGATATAGAAGGTGCCATTTATTGTTTATTAAGTTTTGGTGTTTATCTTGCAGTGTACGCTTTGTCCATATCATTGACAGCGCGTACATTTTTATTTCATTTGTTCGTATAGTAAACGAGATATCTTCAACATATATGACATGACGCTTTCAGTGCGCTTGCACAATCATCAATGCGCTGCTCTCAATCAAAAAGACCAAGGCGAGCCTCCAATTAGAACCAGTCAGTCAAGGTTGCTTGCACTTAGCTGATCTTTCCAAGTCCCCAGATCCCTACAGGTTTCAGTGACTTGACGCAAATCATTGAGAGCCTTGTGGACTGCCTCTTTGTTCTCATCCGAGGGTGTCCTTCCACACTCAACGAAAAAGATATACTGCCACGGCTTCTTCAGACTTGGCCTTGTGTTAATGCTCGTAAGATTCAAGCCATGAGCCTTAAATATCAACAGCGCATTTGCCAATGCACCGGGAGATGAATGATCAATCGTGAAAGAAATCAAAGTCTTGTGCGTGGTTTCAAGGGCAAGCTCGCCTTCCAACGTAGGCGGGTTCGGCTGCTCGAGTTTGAACTGCGCAGTTCGCTCATCAAGCACATTTCTGAAGATCAGGAAACGGGTAGTATTGTCTGCTCGGTCCTCGATGTTCTCCACGAGCACATCCGTCCCGTGTTGTTCTGCCGCGAAGCGATTGGCAATGGCAGCGCCTCGTTCCGTTGTCTCTTTGGAGACGATCTCCGCTGCCTTGGACGTGGACGTGACATCCTGTCTCTCGACGCCCTTGAAGTATTTGGTCAAGAAAGTCTCGCACTGGCCCCATGCCTGCGAGTGTGTATATAGCTTGGTTATAGAGCCGTCGTAGTCTGCCCAACCACCGGGGAATGTGCCCTTGCGCACCATTAGGCAATGGTGTACAGTCAGGTAATATTCCCCGCACACTTTCACGTCTTTATATAAACCATCCCGGTCTGCCAAAAGGTCTAACGTCTGCATCACAGAGCCATTTGTTGAGTTCTCGCACGGAATCACAGCGTAGTCAACTCCTTTCTTTTGGAGCGCGGCGAAGGCATCTGGGAATGAGACTTGGGGTTGTAAATTGGCGGATAGTTTGCAAAAAGACTCTGCAGCAGCCTAGAACAAGGATCAATCATCAAACTAAGTTCCATTTGCAAGGATGTGGGGTAAAGTTTGTACCTGATGTGAAAAGGACCCCAGGGGCCCTAGGAAGGCGACTCTCAAGGGAGCCATCGTTATTGAAGTATGGGATGATCTTTTCCCTGTCAATTGGGCTGAGCCTACTTAAATTAAGTCAAATATTCGGGCTTCATCTCATCGACAGGCGACATCGGGTCTCCGAGCGGTGTGGGCTAAACCCCGACGTTGTGGCAATTCCGACATAGGCAATGAGCGACAGACAAACCAATCAAACGCGGGATGAGTTATTGCTTCAAGTGAACACACGATTCGATAGTCGTCCAATGCAGTCTGTCTCTTTGCTCATGAAGACAAATCCACTCCGACCCCTGATCTCTTTGCGAGGCGGGCGTCATGCATGTCGGACTTACTCCTCGCTCTCCGAGCGCTTGCATCATGAACTGACCACAAGGAAGCTCCCGTTGACTTATGACTATCTACACCCCCAACCCTCGCATCTTCTGAATCTCACACTCCGTGATCTTCTTCCACAATCCCAGAACTCCTCCGATTATGCGACTCTACCGTCACTACAGAACCCGTCCCCGCTCCCCATCGGTCACCACTTAATCTACTTCCCGCCGCAGGTGACCTTGTCTCAACTACTCCCGGACTGCACAGATACGTTACACACGCCGGGCGAACCATTTAATCGGCGCCTTTGGGCAGGTGGAAATCTAAGATTCCCCGTGCGCAGTCCGCCTCTGGATGGCAGTCGCGCAGTCTGCATAGAGTCCATCCGCAACGTGACAGTGAAGGGCCACCAAGGGGACGAGAAAGTGATTGTCACCATCGAGCGACGCATTGGCAATGTTCCCGAACAAGAAACCGCCGACCAGACTTGGGACCGGATGTGGAAAAAGGATGAAGGCAACGCGGGAGAATCGTCAGTTATTGAGAACCGGGACCTCATTTTCATGCGCCTAAAAACCAGCGCCCAAATCGAGGCCGATAAAGCGCAATTCGGAAAGCCTAGTAGGACTGTGAAACGTGAGAATATACTTCCAACCATTGAATATGATATCGAATTTGCTAATGATTCTGGCGCAATGAAGCTCCCTCCAATGCGACGTTCCGCCATGCCCTCATACCTACTAAAGCGCTGCTATTCCGATTCTCGGCGCTGACTTTCAATGCCCATTCCATCCACCTTGACAAGGGCTATACTCAGAACCAAGAGGGATACCCAAATCTTTTGGTGCATGGTCCGTTGACGCTCACGCTTCTGCTAAGTGTGCTCCAGCAACAGCTGAGTAAATTGAATCTCTGCATCAGTAACATTGAATATAAGAATCTAGCAGCTCTTTTTGTTGAACAGGAGCTAGTGATATGTGGCAAGCCTAAGAATGACACCGGAGCTTGGGATGTGTGGATTGAAGGCCCAGATGGAGGGTTGGCTGTTCGGGGTACTGCACGGACGAGGTCGGAATAATATACCCAATTATACGCATTCCTATGCGATACATTTGTACATACTTGCGATAGGGTTTTGGATAACATCTCACTGAGGAATTACAACTTGACAAATATTAATAATGACAGCTAGGGTGCGAAGCTGTCGAAGCCGAAAACAATCATCCATGGATCGGGGCCGCCATACAGTATAGTACGTAAGCAACGGGCATCGGAAAAACTCCCCCGAAGCCAGATTTGCACACCTTTTTCTTTCCACCTGTCCTTCTCTTTCTTTCTTTCTCCGACCACACAGTAATTTGGCTATTTATGAGCGGTTGTAATGTTCCAAGCCGTGATCAATTAACCATCTCACATCTTATTCTTTCTCAAGATGGATGTCTTCTGGGCGGCTCCCCCGGTCACTAGGTATGCAGGTCCTATTTGCCGATCTCAACCTCGGAAGCTTTGATTACTGACTTGTCATTCAGGACCCTCACAGGCTTGACTCTGGTTCAGTCCGCTTTGATGTATGGCGGCTTAGTGAGCTTCTATTGGGCGCCATTCATGCCAAGCATGATATTCTCATGGCGTCCGCAGATCTACCGGCTGGTCACCCCATTTCTACTAACCGGACCGAAACTAGATTTCCTCTTTGATCTTTATATCAGTATGATGCTGGTGTCACATTGGCGTGGTCTGATCAAAGTGCTAATGTACCGATAGTGTACCGCTATGGCAGTGCTGCGGAGAGGAGCATGGCCCCTGGAGAGTTCCTCATTTATCTCCTATTTGTAGCTTTTAACATCATGGTAAGTGACTCGTGGAGTCAGCTCTTTTTTCATTTTCTTTTATTCATCTGCGTTCGCGTCCATATCAAATCCCTCGCTATAACTGCCCGCCCAGCTTCGAAATCTAGCTGAATCGGTTCCTGAAGGCGAGGGAAAGCACCCCTGCATGTGTGCAACACCATCATAATTCGCAAAATTCAGGTGTTGCGCAGGTGTGGGCATGGTGGGATTTCCTTCGAGCTCACTGACGTGATTTCATATCGCATCAGTATCGGAGGTGCCCTACATTTCTATATACATCATCTATTCTCTTCTAATACCATCTACATCCTATTTTACTCGTCATTCCGGTAGTCCAACTCATCTCTTCCAAATTTGCTGACTTGCCCAAGCTCACTGCAGGTGGTTATCTGGGAGCGCCTTTCCTCCTGTCACGTAAGCTTGCTGTACTTGGCTCAATTCTCAGGCAGACACTGACTTGAAATCAGCTTTGACCATGGCTTTCGTCTACACCTTCTCCCAGACGAACCGAGGAACGAGGACCAGATTCTGGTTCATCGATATCCCGGTGGTATTTCTGCCATATGCAATGCTTCTCGTCAGCATGGTGACCAACGGATGGTATGGCGCGCTGATAGGAAGCATGGGAATACTCGCCGCCCATACTTATGATTTCCTCACACGCATCTACCCGACTTTCGGCGGCGGAAGGAATTTCATCACTGTGCCGGGTTTCGTTGAGAGGTACTTCACCGAACATGACCCAAACAGCGGATACCGAGGATACGGAACCGCGAGCCGCGCACCAAGGCCGGCTGGGCAACCCTCGTCGGCGTCAGCATCAGGATCAACCTGGGGCAGCTGGACCTCTTCGAGTTCTTGGAATGGCAGAGGCGCTGGCCGGAGACTCGGTTAGATGGAGAGCCATACATGATCTACGCACGTTGTCAGGTTCTATGGAAGATCTTTGCATCTGACAGACGTTTCGGCCTTCATTGTGCCCATATGGCATATGGACTTCTGATAAATAGTGATAATTGACAAGAACATGTTTTCGGCATTCTTTGTCCACAATCACAGATTTGTGAAACCCAGTAACGAATCATCCTTGGGCATATTTGATTGGGCCAATTGCTTATTTCTCAAATAACCTGTATTATTAGAGTGACGTCTCAAAAATTGTAAGTCCATAGAATTGGAGGCGTAAAATGTCGAGAACTCCAAGTCACGTGGCACTTCCTCCAGGCGCTAAACCGCATTGAGAACTGGAGCTGCCGCACTCGCAAAATTTCCTTCGACAAATTTTCGGGGTTTTCACCGCGCATCCTTCAACGACAACCACCAAAATGGCAGTCGTCAAGACCTCGGAGATGGACTACGCCATCAAGCCTGAAGCGTCCGTTCCTTCTGTTGATACATCGGATTGGCCGCTTCTGCTTAAGAACTATGAGAAGCGTATGCTTGTCCTTTAAACTCCACGCTTGACCAGCCGACATTGACTTTTTTGTAGTGCTCGTTCGGACCGGTCATTTCACCCCTATCCCTGCTGGCTCCTCCCCCCTGAGCCGTGACTTGAAGTCATACATCAGCTCCGGTGTCATCAACCTTGACAAGCCGTCCAACCCTTCCAGTCATGAAGTCGTGGCTTGGATGAAGCGGATCCTCAGGTAAATCAAAGTCCACCAGATCCCCTCAATGCTTTCGCACCCTTGCTGACCACCTTACTCTCCATAGATCCGAGAAGACTGGTCACAGTGGTACCCTTGATCCCAAGGTCACCGGTTGTCTGATCGTCTGCATTGACCGTGCCACCCGCCTGGTCAAGTCCCAACAGGGTGCCGGTAAGGAGTATGTCTGCGTGATCCGTCTCCACGACAAGATCCCCGGTGGCGAGGCCCAGTTCGTCCGCGCTCTGGAGACCCTGACCGGTGCGCTCTTCCAGCGTCCCCCTCTGATCTCTGCCGTCAAGCGCCAGCTCCGCATCCGTACCATCCACGAGAGCAAGAACTACGAGTTCGACAATGAGCGCCACCTCGGTGTCTTCTGGGTCAGCTGTGAGGCTGGTACCTACATCCGTACCCTCTGTGTCCACCTGGGTCTTCTCCTCGGTGTCGGCGCCCACATGCAGGAACTTCGCCGTGTCCGCTCTGGAGCCATGGGTGAGGGCCAGGGTATGGTCACTCTGCACGATGTTATGGACGCCCAGTGGGTCTACGACAACAACCGCGACGAGTCTTACCTCCGCAAGGTCATCAGCCCTCTGGAGTCTCTGCTCACCGGCTACAAGCGTATTGTCGTCAAGGACAGCGCTGTCAACGCCGTCTGCTACGGTGCCAAGCTCATGATTCCTGGTCTTCTCCGCTACGGTATGTGTACCTCTTCCCGCTGAGCATTTCTGATCGATACTAATTCTTCTTCAGAGGCCGGTATTGAGTGCCACGAGGAGGTTGTCCTCATGACCACCAAGGGTGAGGCTATCGCCATTGGTATCGCTCAGATGTCCACTGTCGAGCTCACCACCTGCGACCACGGCGTTGTTGCCAAGGTCAAGCGTTGCATCATGGAGCGTGACCTCTACCCCCGCCGCTGGGGCTTGGGACCCACTGCCCTTGAGAAGAAGAAGATGAAGACTGCTGGAACTCTCGATGTAAGTGGCTGAACTGCCTTCGCGTTCATACAACGTACTGACTTTGCTCTCAGAAATATGGTCGCCCCAACGACGCCACTCCCGCTCAGTGGAAGAGCGAGTACAAGGATTTCAACCTTCCTATTACCGGAACCGCTGCTGTTGCACCCTCCGCTGAGACTAAGACCGAGACTGAGGCCCCCAAGGCGGAATCCCCCGAGCCCGTGAAGGAGGAGGTCGAAGACAAGAAGCGAAAACGCGATGGCGAGACAGCCGAGGAGAAGGCCGAGCGCAAGAAGAAGAAGAAGGAGAAGAAAGAGAAGAAGGAGCGCCGGAAGTCCAAGCAGGATGATAGCGATGACAGCGACTAGATGCACTCCAGGAAGGCCGTCAGGTCCCTTTCCTGTACCATATTTTGCTATTTCCGGAGTCTTGGGTCAAAAGGGAAATTTGTTCTATTCCAGAGTTTCATATTGAAGGCTGCCTATCTGTTGAATCTACCGTTCTTATAAATCTGAGTAACGTTAGCAAGTGAACCACGTACATGTACTAGTTACTCTGTTCCATAGTGCTTCTTTTTTGGTTTATGTCTAAGGTTGTATAGGGATTTTGGCCGAAATATATATATGTACTTAATCAAATCGAATTGACTTTGGGTAACCTTGCAATGTGATAGTCAACTTATACCGTCTTTGGAGCGACAACATTCTCCTCCTTAATATATTTTTCAATACCCCTTGAATCAATTTCTAGCAGTGAAAATATCCAAAAGACTGTAGGATCGTGTGGTAAAACCGCAAATGGAGGCGGTCAATGCCTGTCCTCGACGTGGATCTCGTGACTGGACATTCTCTCCGCATTTCCCTCCCCTCCACTTCATGTCTAGTCCGTAATCCTCGACTATTCTCCTTCGGACTCGGACCCAAGATCAAATAGACTTGAACACCGTCAACATGGCAGCAGAGCTGACATCCACCAAGCTCAACCCAGAGAGTCACATCATTCTGGTAACCATTACTCCGCACCTCCATGAAGAAGCGGGACCTAATCGAGGTGATTACACAGGACCAACCACTCCTTCGACTACCACATGAACTAGCCCGCAGGAATTTAAAAACCGTACAAAGAGCCGTAGAGCGAGAGAAAGAATATGTCATCCCCGCAATCAAAGAGACCGCCGCCTCCTCACTCTCCAACACCCAAACGCCCGACCAGACCCTCGCTGCACTCGACGCAATGATATCCAGAATGCAAGGTCTCAAAAGGAAAATGGAAAGTCTGCAGGAGGAAGAGAAGAAGATCCACAACCAATCTCGAAAGCGCATTCAGCACTTGGAGACCTTGCATAAGATCCCGAGCCTAGCCGATGTCAAGTACGACCAGTGGTCAAGGGTACGGCTTGACCGCTTACTGGTTGACCATATGCTGCGCTCGGGTTACTCTGAAAGTGCGAAGCAGTTGGCTCAGGATAGGGGAGTGGAGGAACTCGTAGATCTCGGTGTATTCACGAAGTGTCAACGGGTTGTCGACAGCTTGCGGCGCGGGGAAACCAAGGAGGCATTGCAGTGGTGTGGAGAGAATAAGGCTGCATTGAAGAAGAGCCAGGTAAGTTGGAACTCACTTCTGCTATCCTAAAGCTTTCAGCTAACTTAACGCTTATAAAGCATAATCTTGAGTTTGAACTCCGGTTGCAGCAATATATCGAGATGGTCAGGACGCAAGACAAATCCAAGAAGATTGAGGCAATACTTCATGCGAAGAAATACCTCATACCGAACCAGCAATCCCAGAATTCAGAGATTATGCGTGCCGCAGGATTACTGGTTTTCACACAGGACACAAGAGCCGAGCCTTACAAAGTAAGACAAACATTCATATTTGATTGGAAGTGTTTTTACTGATGCAGTACAGTCTCTCTTTGCGTTGGACCGCTGGAGGTTTCTCGCGCAACTTTTCATTCAGACTCACCATGAACTGCTTTCATTGCCGTCACAACCATTATTACATATTGCACTTTCCGCAGGACTTTCAGCTCTTAAAACACCTCTGTGCCATTCAGCATATACGTCGTCCAGCTCGAACTCACAGTCAACATCGACATCTGTGTGTCCTATCTGCTCAACAGAACTAAACGAGCTTGCACGCAAAATGCCATACGCCCACCACTCAAAGAGTTACGTGGAAAGCGACCCAATAGTTCTACCCAACGGCCGAGTCTACGGGAAGCAAAGGCTGATCGAGATCAGCCAGAAAATGGGATCAGTGGGACCAGGCAATGTCAAAGACCCAACAACAGGAGAGGTTTTCCACGAGGGCGAGATGAAGAAAGTGTACATTATGTGAACTGGGCAGGCATTTACCGAGAATGAAACGAGCTGCAACCCAATATAATACAGTTTTATTTTAAACATGATACTATTATACACATTTCACCCCTACTCGCTATCACTCGAATCATCATCTCTGCTCCTCTTCTTCCCTCCCTTCTTGGCTGGCTCCTTCTGTTTCACTTCAAAGACATACATCCGAGCCTCCCGATCTTCTCCCCTCCATCCCCCACGCTCCCCATCTTTCCCTTCAATATGCCCCGCCGTTCTTGCATGCGAATACCCCTCATAAGAAGTCCAAGGAAAGCGGAAACTAGTCACAACAACCAGCCCCGCATGCCTCGCCAGATCCTTAATATTCCAAAGCGTATACGGCTCCCCCTCGAACAGAGTCACAAGAATCTGACCAGGCCCAGTTCGGAACCCCTTCCCGGTAGTATCATCATCTTTCCCCAACTCCTCACCCTCCCCTCCTTCCCCATCCTCATCCTCGTCCTCGTCCTCCTCTCCACTCTCCTCCCCATCCGCATACACCCACTCATCCTCATCAGCATCCATAAGGGGCGGCGGCTTCGAAACAAGCGGCACACACGCTTTGAAGAACGCAACCAGCAGCTCCTGATTCGCGCGAACCTGTCGGTTCACGTCCGTAGAGAGCCCGCCCACGTGTGGGAAATTGAAGCAGATCACATCCCACGGCCCGCCGGGCTGATACGGTAGTCCTGCTGGCTCGCTCTGCTGATACCAGGCTGGTCTTTTGCGTTCACGACGTGCGAAACCTGCGCGGATTTCCTTGCCGCCGCCCGCCGGAGCGCCGAGTTTTCGCGCGTCCACGGAGAAGATGACTTTGGGGGTTTGCTGGTTGGGACTGGGGTTGGGGTTGGTTGAGTCCTGGTCTTCAGACTTCCTCTTTTCTGGCTGCTTTTCAGTCTCATTGCCTGCTGGTTTGGGCTTTGCTGATACGCTCAGGATATCTGAGACGTTCTGAGGAGCTTGTGGGTACTTGTCGTACAGTGCTTCCTTGGAATCGTAACATGTGGCGCATAGGTTGCGACACTTGTATTGCTTTGCCAGAGAACGGCCGAATGAGAAGTCACCTGGTGGTTGTTAGGGTTTGTGCTTTCCCGATATAATGGATACACCGGTGTTGAAGCATGTTGCTTGTTCTTGTTTTTATACAGGAATGCATGTTTGGTTTCAATCCCGTGTATTGAAGTGAGAGAACAGCTCCGGATATGAAACGCCACGAGAAAAGATATACATAGAAATTAATTGCAGCGAAAATCTCGCACAGAGTGAAGAATGCGGAGCAATTATGACAACTAAAACAGAAGAAAAGCTCACCTTCACCAATCAGGAGAATCCGATCTTTCCTCAAAAACGGCACGATAGGTCTCTGATTTGCTTGCATAGAAGCTTTCTTAGGTGCATTGGCATTGCCGTTGCCTTGCTTTTGCCCATTGCCATGCTGCTGTCCCTTGGCAGGATTGGAAGATGGGCCAGATGGTTTTCCTGGCCCGCGAGGGCGCGGCGGAGGGGCGCTTTTGACTTTCTTGTTATTGCGAGGCATGACTGAAGGCGAAGAGAAGCGAGTCCCCTTTTAAAAAAAAAAAGTCGTATGAAATTGTATGAATGAATACGGAGCCACCACTAGTGTCTGCGGAAGATGATGCGGAAAAAACTCGGCCCGGATAATCAGATATCCGAAGTATACAACATCCTCGACTTCATTTCAATCTTCTGTCTCTCTTTAGCCTACTTTTTTTTAATTTATTTTCCTCTCGCTTCTGGAATTTGGTTTGAACTATTCTTTGAAAACTATCCAAATTTGTAGCACTGCCACGGGGCAAAAGTTCCGAGGTTTATGTCTTAAAAAATAAGGTGCGATGACCCTCCAGACAAAGGGAAAAAGCACAAAAAGAAAAACAAAGAGAGTGAGACGAACGGGGTGGGCATGACCGCGAAAACCAACAGCAAAACACGGTGATTATCAGCCGCCTCCCTGTTCACGGCCAGTCTAACAGTAAACCACTTATAGTCTAGACGGGCGACCAGATCCTTCAAGCCTTATTGAATGTATGGTGAGCCTAGGTTCAGAAAGGTAAGGTGCCTGGCAAATGCGAGGAGAGAAAAGGTAAGTACTCCATGTCCAGCCTGAGAAAGTGTTATCCAGAATGACCAATCTGGACCCAGCGCTGTGCAACCACTAGGAACCCGTCCAGGATATCCAAGTGTCTGATCGAAGATCCAATTATAAGGGACCAACTAACGAGGGACCATGCAGGTAGTCAAACGCCGCAGAACAACATTGGGTTTGTCCCTGGCAGTCATGTCTCGTTCAAAGACCCTCTTGGTCGCAATCGAATACTCGCAGGGATCAGAACTATTTTTCCAGCGCTTAACCTCGCCATCGACTCTATTAGTGCGAGTCCACTGAATGAGGTCAATGATATTGACAAAGAGGTTTCGAGTAACCTATAATATCATACCGTCAGCACGAACCAGTCAAGGATAAGTGGGAAATAACGAACCAGATAACCATCGGCACAAGTCCCAGGAAGCGGATCTATCCCGACAGCACGACAAAGCTTTTGCCAGGACTCAAGCTCCAAGACGTCACCGAACCGGATTGTCACTTCGGAAGCTAGCGCGTCCTGATATCCGATCCAAGCTGCACGATACTGGGGGCTTTGGTCATTCCAGCCACAGAACACATGCAGTTGCTCCCAAGATTTATGCAGCGGGAGCTGGACGTGGAACGTAAAGCCGGGCCATGAGCGGAAGAAGTCATTGAGAGGGGAGCTGACCATCCTCTGGTGCAAGGTGGACTCGCGGTGGACTCTGAGAAGATCCCTGGAGTTGAACACCTGCCCACATGGTTTGCATTCGAAGGCATGATGGCCTACTGCGGTGGCGTGGACGATGAGGTCATACTCGCTGGTGAAATATTCGGAGCAGGTGCCGCATTATGGGCATGGCAGGGGAGAACTGGAGATGATGGTCAAGACCAGCTTGGTCGTTGTATCTGCGGTTGCAGGGGGTACAGGTGAACATGTTGATGTGGCGGGCAGATGGTTAAATGTCCGAGATACTCGGCTTGGATTGTTTATTTTATGCATTTTGAGAAATGGGATATATGACATTCTCGATGAGAGACAAATTAGAATGAAATAAATGGAATAGATGAGGGCAAAGTGAGACTAAATGACTTATTATATTAACCTCGTGACCATCTCTAACAAACAAGATCGGACGGACATTGAAACTAGGAAATAGCGAGAAGTATAAAACAGCTAACCAGAATAAAAAGTCATATTAGTTATCGAAAGACACGTTCTATTAGAAAAAGAAACAGATCGCGGCATAGCTATATACATCGAACAAGACAGGCAAGGATAGATGCTACGACCGCATATCAGAACAAAGGGAGAATTACTAAATCATATCGTAGACCAAAAGCAGGGGTCAGAGGAACCGCAAAAACGAATCGGTTTCCCTTCCGTAAGTGTAAGGCGAGGGGAGGTGAGAATAACAGACAAGAGAGAAAAAGGAATCAAACACCAACACCGACAAAAGTGATCGCAGGATTTTCTCCATCAGACCAGATAAGACCTTGAATTCGGCTGCAATGAAACGTGAATCATAATGTCACATGCAAAGGAGCACCGTGGACGCGGTTGACTTTTTGTATATGCACTGACCAGTCAGACGCATATTGCCATTCCAAGCCCTAAGAGCGCAGCGAGTCTCTCATGCTCTGGCTGCTGGCACTGACTGGCGTGGGGAGAACACCGGTTCTAGGCTTGGAGTTCTGCTTGATCTTGGCAACGGCGTAGACAATACCGCTGACGAAGCCGACAGCGATGGCAGAAACACTGGGGAAGGTGACTGGCGCATCGAAGAAGATGAGACCAGACAGGGCGATGGGCAGCTTGTTGAGAGCGCCAACCATAGAGTATGTCGTGGATGAGGTAGTGCGGACACACCATGCAGACGTGTAAGAGATGAAGACAGAGGAAGCACCGGACAGAACCATGGCGAAGAAGATACCATCACGGTTGGCCTCGGGGAAGTTGCGGGCAAGGTTGGCGGATGACCAGTCCTCGACCAGCAGTGTGAGAACGATCAAGACGGGGATCGACAGGAGGTTGTTGTAGAACATGGCTGAAGAAAAGTTCAGGTTAGAAAACATTTGAAACAAGGCTGGAAGAGCCACATACTATCGAAATCCTTGAAGTTGGTCAGCTTGATGCGCTTGCGCATGCCCAGAACATAGGACGAGGTGCACAGGCAGTTGATCAACATCCAGACGTATCCGGCGTTCAGGGTGGAGACCTTGCTGGAGGTGTCACCGGTGCTCTCCACGGCATGCTTGATATCAGCCCAGGCGGCAATGAGCGAGCTGAAAACCATCAGACCGAAGGAGAACAGAGTAAGGTTAGTGACAGAGCCACCGAACCAGAGAACCTCTCCATAGGCGATAAGGATAATGGTCAAGTTCTTGAAGATGGTGTAAACCGGGATTGAGAGGAACTGAAGAGCCTTGGAACCAGTGTAGATCATGCCGATCAGTAGGAGCGTAATCGGGAACCCTGATATGGAATCTGGTCAGCTGCCACATCTCTCAGCCTGCAATAATCGGAGTCCATACACTTTCTGGCCTCATCGGTGTTGAAATCACGGTACGTGATAAGACCCATGGACTTGCATGTTTGAATTGCAGCAATGCAGACCAAAGACTGTTGATATTAGCAATTCGCCTGGGATTAGGGCTGCAAAAGCCACCACATACCTGAACACAGAGCAAGAGGAAGTTCAGATTGAAGTCCAAGCCCGACAGAACATACTTGTTCATCACGGTCATCATAATTGACGAACCACAGTATGCCAGAACGGGGAAAGCGGGGTTGTTGGAGATGGCGGAACTGGCGCGGGGCGAGGGAGTCGGTGGCGGCGCAGCCTCGAACTCCTTGTTCCCTTGGTCGACCTTGTTCATGTCGACGGTGTAGTCGTCGGATTTCTTGTCTTCGGCCATGTTGAGGGAGTGGTCGCGGATAGGGGGTGTTATCGGCTGTTGCTGGAAGGGGGAGGAACTGAAATGATAGATAGCACCCAGAATATATCCAGGGGAGTCTAGGAACAAAAGAAGTTGTTCGAGAAGATGACCAAAGAAAAAAAGGCCAAAGGAGATTTGACAACAACAGATTTCGCGGCCGGAAACAGGCACGTCGTTACCTAAGCAGGGCAGTTAGGGGTTGCTGACTCAGGATTTTATTTATAGAGTGAAACATCCATCCATGGATATACTATTCACATACAACATACGGAGTACAGTAGTCGATTGAATCTGTTTATTAGGGCTTGAAAATACTCAATTAGGTTGATGATATATCGTATACATTGCTGGCAGTCATGCTGTTGTGCTTATATATGTGTACAACATAGTATGGCTATGTGCATAAATAAATCATTCTAAGGTTCTATGAGGCTAAAGAATATGCATAAAATTGTTCCACTGATTAAAAGAACGAGAAATAAAGAAATACGCAGCTCATTCTAATTGCAGACTATAACGTTAGAAACCCCTGAAATCCAATTTATAAAGCTGTTCACGCGTAGACTACTCCGTACCGGTACAAGCCCATATACCAGTGGAGCTCCCGACCTTCCAACCTCAACCCCCCTAACCACACACTCCTCCGAAAATCCCAGTCCAAACCTTCATATTGGGAGATTGGGCTCGAAAGCAAAACCGAACCGAATATCCTCCTCACCTACTAAGAAGAGCAAAAACAATCCAATCTAATCCACCCCCGCACTTCCCCCAAAATGCCCGATTCAGACGACGAAGCCCTGTTCGCCGCCCTCGAAAACGAAGATGACACCCTCTACCGCGACCAACGCATCCAACAGCTAAACGCGGAGCTCGCAGCTACAAAAAACAACCACTCCGCACGTGCAACAAGCGGCAGCACAGGCCTCATCCAAACCGAAGTTTACCCGACGCTCTCGTCGGACCAGTCTGTATTGGACTTCACGACGCGCACAAGCAGGTGTCTGGTGCATTTTGCGCACCCTGATTTTGCGCGATGCGCGGTCATGGATCTGAAGCTTGGCGAGCTGGCGAATGCGCACTACGAGGTTTCGTTTGCGCGGGTGGATGTGCGTAACACGCCGTTTATTGCGCAGAAACTTGGGATTAAGGTTTTGCCTTGTGTTATTGGGTTTAAAGATGGGGTTGGGCTTGATCGGGTTGTTGGGTTTGAAGGGCTTGATGCTAGGGGCTTTGATGGGGTTGAAGGGTTTGATGTGAGGGTTTTGGAGAAGAGGTTGGTCTTCAAAGGGATTCTTTTGGCCCTGAAGATTGGGGCTGGGGATGAGGATGATGTGAGGGAGGAGGAGCAGAGTGATGATGATGCTGGCGGGAGAGGATTTGGGAGGAAGAAGGGGAGACGTGGGATTCGGGAATCCAATCCCAATGTGAGGAACCGTGGTGACGATGATGATGACGATTGGGATTAAGAGTCTTGCAAGGCTATTTCTGGTATACCCATGGAAAAAGGGTATTGGGATGTTTATTCATGGTTTCTGTATATTAACGGATTGATGACCTAGATTGATGTTCATAGTTGGATGTTTAGTAGCATACCCATGCCATATATCCATACACTGAGACTTATACAACTTGTTTTCTGAACAAGCAACCTTGTCAAGCCTCGACTAGGACTATGCGTCTGCCCGGGAACAAGTCTTGGGAAACTTGAAATTGGACGTTGAAGAATCGAAGCAAATGGGATTGCAGCGACACGAAAGAACAAGTCATCGTAGAATTACAGACAAAAAATATCAAAGACCGTAAACACAGAGCCATCTCGACGGCAAAGGAAAGCCAAAACGGAAAGGAAAAAAGCGCAGAAGCAGAGCAAAACAGCACCCTAGAGTTACAACAAATGCCGTGAAACTGAGGCTAGAAGGACAACAGGGGGAATTCTATACATAGAAGCAGAAGTAGAAACAGAAGCAGAAACAGAACGTTGTCACACATCCATAAGTTCCACATTGACGCCGAGTGCCCCTTGAAAAATCAAGACACGAGAGAAAACAGAACTGCCCGGTCTCAAATAGCAAGGCTCTTAAATAGCCACGTTCTTCATTTCGCCGAGGACCTCCGACTCAATGGCGGTTGAGGATTCCGCAGAGTCGGTTTTCTCGGTTTTCTCGGCCTTGTCGGATTCCTTGAGTTCATTAGGCATGGGGAACCCTTCATTCTCCTTATTGGAGATTTGCGGGGTTACAACTTCCATAAGATCTTCAGTCTGAGGCTCCTTGCCGTTTTCCTTGGTATCTTCGGAGATTGTGGGTCCTGCACTGACAACGGGACTTGTTGTCTCCTCAGTCACGCGTGCAAGAGGGCTGGACACGCCAAATGGCGTCTTGGGGCTCTGGGAATTTCCGCCCTTGGAGAAACGGTGTGGCGAACGGCCGCGTTCTTCAGCGCGCGTGGGGCTGCCGTAGGGAGACTCGCGACTGCTGGACCGGTTGCCTGCAGCGCTCACACCCAGACCATTAGGTACAGGGCCCTTCCGGCGAGGTGCACGGCGGCCATACTTCTGATCAGTCCTCCAGCGCAGAATATCCAGGTATGGGGGCTCCACATTTTGGGCCTTGAATTGCTTCAATTTCAGCTCATCCGTCTCCTCGTCGACAATGACGTGGCCACTGCACAGATCGTCGGCGAGAGTCGCGAGGAACCCAGCCCATGACCGGGCAACCACGTATTTACAGTCATAATCCCGGCCGAAAATAATCACCTGGCCCCATTTTCCAGCAGGGCCGGGTGCCAGATCGATGGCCAGGTTGTTACCGCCCCAATCACGGGCGAGGGGAATCCAAGCGGGATGTGCGTAGGATTTCTGAACTGCACCGGGAGGCTGGGAGTCCTGGCGGTCGAGCAGGTCTGATTGCCACATTGTGGACGAGGCCTGCTGAGACGGACCCGCCGCGGAGGAGCTTGCTGCAGAGCTGGGTGCGGGGGGGTTTTGCATCATAGTAGCGTTGCTGAGATATTCATCATTGACCTTTTTCCAGTTCCGCCATTCCTGGACGATCTCTTCGCAGTCGAGCAGCATGGCGCTGAAGATAACACCGGTGGGTAGGCCACCACGTTCTTGGCCGTCATGGAACATTAACGATTCCCGCACCTCTAATGGCAGACTGCAGTCAAGTTCGTGCTCCAATTCGTTAATATCGTTCTGAGTACATCCTTCACCGAGCTGGTCAAGAAGCTCCTCATAATTATGTTCTAACCAGCGTTCGATCTTCCTCCAGGAGTGAGCGACCGGCGGCGGCGGCGGTGCTCCGTCGTGGAAACTTTGCATCTGGATTTCTGGTGCACCCTCACCTTGGTCGTTCGATCGTCTCTTCTGGGATGCCACCGATCTCATCCCTGGTGAATAGGGATGGGTGGGAGAGCCCAAGCCATCGGGCGAGCCATTCCACTCGGATGCTTGTGCACTTGCAGATCCTTTTGTGGGCTCGTCATCGTATGGGTTGGAGAGGTCTGGGCGAGACTCAATTGCGCTGGTTGCGACAGATGTGAGCGGCTCGTGGCGACTTTGGCTGAGAGGGACGTGTCGCCCGGTACGGTAGGGGGAGTCGTGGGAGGCATGACGGTCATAGGAGGTCATGGTATGCCAAAAGGAACGCCATGTCGAACTCAACCTGCATCACATCAGTGGACATGAACCTTCCAAGATCGTCTAGGCATCCAGAGGTAGACTAACATATTCGCCATGGTGTTACAGTGTAGGGAAAAAACGGGCGCAGGGGGTTGAAACCGAGATTCAGGTCGCGAGAGCGGTCATTTGAGACGGGAAAACGTGTCCCAACGCGAGGATAATCAATAGAGAATTCAAATTCAGAGAAAGAACGGAGAAAGGAGATGTTGAAAATGTGAAGATGTGAAGTTGTGGTAGGGGCAACCTTGGAAGTCCAGAATCCAGAATTAGGTAAGGAAGGAGAAAAGGTGGAGGAGGGGGGAAGAGACGGTTTTTCTTATTTTTCTTGGAAACACAAGACTTTTAAAAAGGCTTGAAATAACATATATGATCCGCTTTCACAACAACATAAGAACTTGACAGGTCCTTTGCTTCAATTGTTATGATATGATTCTATTTCATCAACCCCCTGGCCACTTCCAGCGAGGTCTCGACGTGTGGTATGTAGATCCCTTTGATATGATGTCGACAACCCATCATAAGCTTTTGAATGTGACAATTGGGTATCTTGCCAAGTAGTATATGTGTTTTACTGTACAGAGTACTGCATCCAGTCTTCAAGACATGTCTTCCAAACTACATACAATTACACGTGTGCAACGTGCATCTGAATGCCATTGTCCGATCCCTTACGGCAAAGGCAGTTCAAATTAAGCTTCAGCAGAAAACGGATTGTGAAATAGAAGACCCCAACACCCGTCTCATTATGTGTTGGCAAGGTATGGTGTACTTGAGCAAAATAAGTATACAGAAATAGGAACACACAATAGGGGATTCTGAAGTGGCGAATTCAGCTTCCCTTTACTCCGTACTCCGTACTTCCCCTAAGAACCGACGGATGAGGGCGAAATTGATATCAAATTAGCTCCAGCTAAGTGGATCTCGGGGAAATGACTGTGGCTGGCGAATAGGAGTCAGAAGGGTCAACAATAGGGAGAGAATCCACGTCCCAACTAACAAATAGAAACTATATACGATGCACAATATACTTTGGAGACGTTTAATCTATTAAGCGCGCGAATCAAACTATTCAGCGATTCTATGATGGAGATCCTTATCGTTGGAAAAACTCTTTACGGAGTAGTTATATCAAAAGCCTAAAATATACATCGGAAAAGCCCTGGGGCGATATTAGGATCAGCATTGGGCTCTCATAGGCTAGAAACCTGCCAATTTTGATTCGTTTCACCGGTGTGGCTAGTTCAGCGCTTGGCGCAACATACGTCTTGGCATTCAGGCACATAGTCGATTATGATCATTGCGATAGGATCTTTACCATTATGCCTTTCAGCTCTACAACTACATTTACGCCGACACTACTACCCCTCCTATACCTGCGTGGAATACGGATACAGAATATGAGATTATGTAGTGACGGTGTACTTTGATAAAGCTTAATGAAGGTTTGAATTTATAGGCTTATACATAGTTGATTGTTAATCTATAACTAGGGAATCCATGTAAATAGAATAATAACGGTTGGCGTTATACGGAGTTTACACTTGACGATCTAGGACTTGGTTGATCCGAATATCTAGTCGGTTCGATATGATACTAGAGGTGATATTTAACCTTGGAAGATACGAAAAGGTGCCTATGTATATATAGTCAGCGAGCTAGGAGTGGCAACATGCAGCAGTATTGCAAGCTATTTACAAGACCGAGTCTCACATGACCCGACCTGTTGATAAGATCCTTAAGATGACGCTAAGCCCGGTATAGATTAGCGTGTTCTGGGAGGATTCGAGAAGAATCAAAAAATGGTGGACAGATCAGCGGGCAGTGGTTCGCACGATAATCGGACAGCTTCCGGATCAACCGGTGAAGGTAGAGGCTATCACCCACCGGTAGGGTTTGATCAAGCATAGACTGCACACATGTGTCACTGTGCAAATGGGCTCCAGAACGTAGGGGTGAGTGTAGACAGCGCTTGTAGTCATCCATACGGGCCCACCTGGTAGGGCTGTTGATAATGCGCTCGTAGATTGCTTGCCCGGACGTCCGATTGTCGTGCGCTTCCTCTGTAATAGCCGCGCCCAGCGGCAGGTCGAGCTCCAGGTAGAGTGAGATGTAGCATCCTGCAGCGCGTGCGCGCCCGACCTGGTACCGCAATAGGTCGTTCCCAGGATATCGTCCCACTAGGTCAAGGAGAGCCGAACAGACTGGGATATCTGGATGCCAGAAACTGTAAGGGAAATCATCCGGTGATCTCATGTTTGGAACTCGATTGCTCATAATTGCACGCGCATTTAAAGCGCCTGTGAATTCAGGAAGATGCCCGTGCAGCTCCTGCGCGAAGCCATCGTGAGTGCGGATTCCTCGCACCATGCATAACCGAGCCATCTGACTCGTCGAATTATCGGGAACTCTTTTGCCTTGGATGGCTGCTTAGATTCCTTCCGGATTCATCCAATCCATGGCGTCGGGACGGATAGATGTCATGGTGAGACTAAGGCTGTCTTCGAATGGATGTCTAATACGTCTTAGCGCCTGTTAGGTCACTTTGAACCTGGAAAGGTACCCATGAGATTGAGTAATTATGTCCTATCTATTAGAGAAAACAAACATGCAGAAAGACAACATTGAAAATACTACGCTCGAGTTTAGGGTTAGGATACTAGCATAGTAGTGCCCACTGGGTCTTGGCACATATTCCAATTTTGTGTCGAGCGGGCCGATTACCTATCCAGGTAGAAGGTCACGCAATCACGTGGCACATTAAGATCACCGTCAACTATGGAAGAATCCTTGGATAGAGTTATGTACCTTGGTGTTCGCTATGGTAGAATACTGTACTACTCTTAATAATATCTTCTCTTCCCCTCAGGTATCAGTGTGAGTTTGATAACTTTGGCCCCCTTGGCCCCCATTTACGCCCCCCATTACCTGAAATAGCTTAGCGCATCGACCTCGGGAGTGGCCTGTCCAAGTCCATCTGGAGTGCTTGTTATAGAAATTTTAATTACATCAAGCTGCCTAGCGTAGTCGAGAGAAGGTAGACATTGCTTTACGTTAGTTGTTTCTCTGAGGCTGAACATGGACACTAAACTCGGTAGTCTTCTGTCCTGTGAAGTCCACTTGTCTCAATTGAGTATGTATCTACGCCGAAGATCTTTCGTATGAAGGGGCCAAGTTACAATTAGTAATGTACAACCTTTCTCGGCTGTACATTAGCTCCAGGGCATGTGGAGAATAGTAGAACTGAATCAATAAATAAATGTATTTCGCGGCTCTTTTCTTCCTATCCATCTTTTGTATGGGCCCGGATTCCATTCAGCACATCGCAATGAATCTCAATGGGCTGTCCTGGCCTACAAAGCACCTTCATGCGAGCACTAGGAACGGATCGACATGGGGCTATGTCATTTATCGCACCACATATACTCCCTATTCCAACGCCGCATTCCTCCGACTTATCGATCTTCTCAACTCCTACATGAAGCATGGATTATACTCTGAATGCTCCTCAGAAAACAATACCCCAATGGATACAGACCTCACTTTACATCACGAAATCTGGGCCCAGCACCATTCAATCATCATGAACAATCCAAAATTTGACGGCGCTTCAATAGACTCAATTCGCGCTCATTTCCAACGCTGGGTTGATGTGCAAGAGTATCAAGGTCACTGTACTCAGTATCGCATGTGTATGGTGATCGACGAAGAGTCCTTACAGACGTTGCTGGATGCTCCGCCGCCCCAAGAGGGCTCGGATGAAAAGGTCATTGATCCGGTGCGACACGTGAAGGTGGTAAGACTACTTCCGGATAGCGAGGATGAGTTTGATGGTTTCTTGGGTGGATAGGGAGCTTTTTATACTTATGGCAGTCATAGTGACAAGGGCCATTTCGTTGGTTATCTATCCAGAGCTGTTACATACATGTATATAGGATGCATTTCTCGTCACATCCAATAATTATAGCCCGACGCCCAACAATTGCATGAACAAGTTCTTTACTTGTCTTTTTATTTCGCCATTTGTTAAACAACAAGCAAGCTGTGGCTAATTCCACAGTTACTTCCAACGTCTTAAATTTCTGGGTTCTTCTTGCTTTTTACACCGAGTGTTGCTTTCCCAGGGAGGAACATGGCAGGCAAGCTGAGAAACACAAATGAAAACGTCACATGAATCTCGTGAGACAAGTTCTGCTTACAACTGGACTGGTGTAGCTCCAATTTAATAGCCCCACCCAACTGTTTGGAATCGAAAATATTTGTCAACTGCAAGCTTTGACTGTCGAAGCATACATACGTGCAGAACTGATGAACGATGCTTCTTCATATCGACTTCCAGACGCAGCTTCCTGCTTTTCATTTCCATTGACAATTATACCGCTCGTGATAGTATATTGTCTCCCAAGTCACCCGGCACAATGGAAACTTTCATGGTTATAGCTAACCTCCAAGGGTATCCATGACTTAGCATCATCAGATTTACTTGTCTACTAAGTACGACTACTACTTGCACTCCATAATCGGAACCAAAATGTGACCAGTGATGATTATCGATCGGATTGAGCGACGGGCACAAAAGCACACCGATGTGGACTAGTCAGATACTTAGACAAATTCAACCCTCATGAAACGAGTGAAGAGGATACAACAAGGTACGAAGTGCCAGATCAGCCCCAGGTCAGTCTTGGAAGGCTGACCGAGGCTGATAGCTACTTCCAGCAAATCAAAAAAAAAAAAAAAAATATAGGAGAGCTGACAACAGCAAAAAGGCCCAAAACAACAAGCAGCAACAATGCAAAA